CCCAAACAGACCTAAAAACCAAAAAATAAAAAATAAAAATAAAAATAAAAAAAAAACAAGAAAAACAATTGCCAGAGACTCCTGGACTGAAATTTCCATGGCCGGAGAGTGTCGGATTTTTGTTTTGGTTCTTTTGGTTTTTTGTTGTTTTTGGTTCTTTGGGTTTTTTGGGTTCTTTTGTTGGAAGTGGCTGCCAACCCAAAAAAACATCAAAATACGCGCGCGCCCAGGGTCGGTGGCACACATTGGGGGGCAATGCACTCTCACGGCAAGGCTCGTAGACAATGCACATGTCTACGTGTGAGTACTGCAGTTGGTCTAGTCTAAAGCTGTTACATTGTCACTCTTGTAATTAGGCTTATCGGCGTCTGCGGGATACAACGACCAATTATTTGGTGAGCTCCGTTTGTTTTACAGTAACTACCATTTTTACTGTTAATACGGTGACTATTAAATATCTCTGAAATATGCAGGTCGATATTGACTCGCCGATATTTTTGTGTTTTTTGCAGGAACAACCCCAGATGAAGTGTATAGTACTGGTGATCATATTGTCGTAAATTACTACAATTACTGTACTTAATCTTATTTCAATCTCACATAGGCTCTTCACAGCATACTAGAAAACTTGGATGTGCATAGATACATGTGCGTGTGAAATATGTATGTATGCATGCATATATATATGTGTATATAGGTACACATACGTGAATGTCTATGAGTACCTCTTTTTGAGATGTATGTGTAAACTGTGCGGATGTATACATAAAATACAAGTACTGTCGTATGCTAAACGTTCTTTTACTTCGTAAGTAAAGTTGAAGGCATAATCAGCTAATCAGGCTTACTTCATTTGTTTGCACAGTTACTGATTTGCTTATCACCACGTTACTGTATAGGCAACCTATTTACCAGTTTCAAGTACTGCAATTGGATACCACTGGAAGTTTCATCTTTGACTTCATACTCGTTGTTACAACAATGGTTTGGTATTGTCGATCTTAAGAGTCTTGAACATGTCTTATCTTGTTGTGTATACGTGTCTACATGAAGTCGATCACTTGGAACACCGGTGCACATCTATACAACACACTGGCCAACAAACCTAAGATTAAAAAAGCGCATTATGTTTGTAGGATCATTCACATTTACATTTTCTGCTATAGGATTTGTACATTGATTTACATGTTCAGCGTGTCCACATGTAACATGCCTTCTATATTTCGATTACTCTTCTGAACATGACCATAGCTAAAGTATGACAAGTACATGTATGTGCCACCTTACAATAGACTTGTTGCTGGTAACCTATAGAACATCGGCTTAGTGTGGATTGAAAAGTATCGTGTATCTAGTGCTATTACTGTCTGTATTTGGGTTGAATGTTCGGTTACCATCTTAAACACGTACCGACAAGAGCAATGCAAAGGGCATGGTTGGTATTTATAACACGAAGATGAGCAAACAAATTAGTATTTACAGATCAAGAAGTCTGTACTACATCTACAAGCATGCTCCGCGCACACATATGCGTATACATCTATGTATGTGCATTGAAAGGTCAGAATTTGTCAACCAATGTAAGGCACTGTATATACAAAGTGTACATATATGCAAACATACTTACATTTAAATATAAATACATATATATATATGCATATATATATATATATAAACATCCCGAGCTCTCTACCATGCACAATTTCACACAAACATGTATATATATATATATATATATATCTGTCTTTGTATGTAGGCATATATATATATATAGACATATGCATATATATTTATCCGTACACATATACTCTTCATATATATATATATATAACTTATGTTCATATACAAATACACATATATGTGATTGCAACTTATGACATCTTTGGACAATAGAACAGAATACTATTATCCATGCTTATGTGTCCTCAACCCGATAATACTAACGAAGCACATCATATGATGCAAACAGTATGTACTGAGGTCCAAACTTGTTATAATGCAAAACACAAATAACAGTATTGGCACTAGATATTGCAGGGTGCCGGAAAAGTCTTATACTTTCCGTTAGCTCGAGTCGGGAAGATCAGCAACTAGGGCCGTGTCTCTGGTCGCTTGACCCTTAGACTGGACATATGACCAGCAAACCAACTAGCCATAACGGGCACGAGTGGGTCTCTGATGGATTCTATAAAGCACTATATGTGCTTGTACCATCACAATTCTAGCATAAAGCAAGCTAGCAACAAATAAAGAATCAAACAACTTCAAAAAAGCACACGCCCACAGTCCCCCGGACTCTAGTTTTACACATATCTCTCTGAACGTTGCTATGGTCAAACTATTTGACGCATGGTTATATCCTTGCAACTCTGTTTTTGAGCGCAAACATTCTAGCTCTCGAGTGTATGCCTCCTCGAACATCCTGCGGCCGCAAAGGTCAATGCGGTCGGACTGGGACCACGCTCACACAAATAGGATTTGAAGCCTGTTATAGGTTTCAAATGGCTCACGCAATATGAGACACAGGACAATGAATGGACGCATTACGGCTAGCCGCCTCAGAGCGCTCTGCAAGTGCACGCGTTTCACGAAGCAGAAGCCGCCAAGAGTCAAAGCTGAGGATGACACAGAGCTGAGAAATCAACCCCGATGCATGGAAAAGCACCACAGGCCAGGGCTGCTCATCAAAGCCCGGAGAAGATGATCGTCAGTTCCTACATGTTTGTTTGATGTTCGTGGCCAGAGGCCCCACGAGCGTCCCTGACCGCTTCAAAAACCATGCGGACAACAGCACCCAAGTTGATGAGGCAGTTACAAACTGGAATAAAAAACTGAAATCAAGACCTTGACGGCCAATGTTAAGCACACCGGCATAAACCCGTATGCAAACCTTTGGAACAAGAGTTGGGGCGCGGCAGCGGTGGGGTACAAAAGATCCTGCGTGGGAGGAGTCTAAGGAACAATGCGAGAATTGTGCTCGTCCACATCAGCGAACACTGATTTTCACGGGATATCCCAGCTTGCCGGCTGCAGAAAACCACCTTTGAAAACCGCCACACCATGGCGCCGTCCCCGAAGCGGCCATCTCATATGGAAATCATGCAGAAGTGCCCAGTCCCCGCGCGACACCAGAAGCAAGAGGAGGCCCAAGCAACTAAGTCACGACCACCCGTGACTCCACGCACCTCCTCAGCCTGCCCATGCCTGAGGCCACCCGCCTGCCTAGCTTGTCTCAGCCTACGCCGCCCCGCCGAAGTCGACTACGCCGCCTCGTAGATTTGCTTTGGGCTGGGCGGTGGAACACGCAAGATCCCGCGCGAGATCAGAAGGGGTGTTGCTTGCAAACCGAGTGAGAATACCGACGCATTGCCCCCCTGTTATCCTTCAGCAGCACCGGCCCCAACCTCGCGACAGCACTGAACGAACAAACTGAAGGGCGGAGCATTGACAAGGTCCTGGACCACACGGAACCCTTCTTCGAACAGTCCTGTCAGGAACAAACTGGAAAAATGCTGGTGTGCTGCCCTAACCGGTGCGAAGCCTGAGCAGTCCAATCACGGCCAAGTGGGCGTGCCCACGCCGATCGTGCGCGTGGCCAGACGGTTTGGCCTCAGTGCTCAACACCTGGATGAGACCAACATGCTTCCTGCCGGGTTTACGGGCTTAAAGCCCATCTTCACCAGAGAGGTAGACATGGGAACACAACCTGCCGGCTCCTCGTGCGTCGTTTTTTGGTACTTGCAGCAGGCTCCCATGAGAAGCTAAGGATACTAAAAGCATCGTGGGACTGACCGGCTTCAGCATGGCAACCTCTTGTGACCTCGATCGATAATCCGCTACAGTTCGTCATGTCCTGCCAATCGCCAAAGCCTCATTGAGCCCAAACAAAACCCCGCAGCTCCAGCTCGTTCCAAAAACATGCTGATTCCAGACCACGCGCCCCTGTGGTGCACCACAAATGCATGGTCGTGCAGGGGCGTCGGCCCCACCAGCTCCGCTGGGCCAGCTCTCGGCTCCAGGTGCCATCGCCATGTCGATGACACGACTGACATCGCCTCGATCCAAGCATCCGCCACTGCGCGGCCACGCAGCCAGCAATGTCAGCGACAATTTTTTGAGCCCAACTAAAGCAGCCCTTCTCTCAGTCCCTGCGAAAGACAGGCTCGCACGCCTTGCGTGTGTCAGGTGGTGGGGGCCCACAATAATGGCACGGCGCTGATCTACTCTGAGAGCAAGCCCGACATCGAGTACCGGAAGAATAGAACAAGTATCTGGCACAGAGGTGCTGCCAGGCTTAAGCTGAACCCTCCCAGCTCCTGCTCACATGGACGGCAGGGTAGATTTGTTGGCGCACGCAACCCGAACCGGGGGGATGCCGCTTTGCAGAGGATTTTTTGGTTGCGGGGATAGTGATTAAATGAAAGCCCGAACGCCACAAGAACCCAGGCTTGTGCCATGTTGCAGAGAGGGTAGCAACACGTTGCCAGCAATCCATCGCTGCTGCAGGTCGCAGCAGGATCGCCTCGTTGTGGTGTGCCACATAAAGGAAAGCACACTCCTGACGAGATAACTTTGCATCAACTCTCACAAGGGGTGGCCGCCCGACCCAGTTTCAACTGCCCGCCGGCTTGGGCCACGCTTGAGTCAACATGCCGCAATCTTGAAGGACACGTACGCACTCAAGCCTGGCAAACTCGATACATGTCATCAATGTTGAAATCATCATTGGATTGATGTGCAAAATGACGTCCGGTATTGTAGCTGAATATCAGCAGCAGCAGAAGCAATTAGTCATGTGTCAGACAACAAGCTGCACCCTTCAAGCTGCGTGCTCCCATGAGCATCCCTTAGCCTTGTAGTTGCAAGCCAAGCATTCGTGGACTTGAATTTCGCCGAGGTGTACATGCACGGCCCAGGTTGTCGCATCAAATGGGAGTTTGCGCAGGATTCAGTGTCCGAAGTACCTGCAAACCACCGCAAACAAAACCTTGCTCTGAAGTTCATATGGGTGTTACTCGTATTCGGTCTTCGTGTCTTTCAGCACAGCCACATGTCCAGAAGTGCATTCCACCCCACAACAGAAACCCGGTAATACATGGTAACACATGTAACACAAAGTAGTGCGGCACTTCTGCTCTGGCCTCCTTGAAGCTGCGCGAAGCCACAGCAAGCTTTTTTTCTGCCTGAACATATACCGGAGACCGCACCGCCGGTCAAACACGCGAAGCACGTGGTTTCTGCCTCCAAGCTCGGAAGAATCTCCACTGTCGCATCAACTTGACTGCGCAGCTTCGCGGCTGCAGCCTGCCGTGCGGAGACTCAATCCGAAGAGAAAAGCGATCAAAACTCAAAATCAAGACACCTCCCACCTCTTGGCCAGCAGAATTCGTAGAAAGCTCCGTGCACTTCTGCGTAGCCTGCTCCCAGCTTTGCCGGGCCTCAAGCAACATCGGCAATGTGGCTGTCAACATGAAACACTGTAAGGCCAAAGAAGAACCACACAAGCAAGGCTCGAAAGAAGCCACTTAACAGGGCAGGCGAAAGATTGCTGGGAGCCGTGACATGGGCTCCGGAAGTGGTGAAGTCGCAATCTATCAACCCGGTGAGTTGTACGGAAGAGCACTTGTGCACAACAAGACTGAAATGGGCTGAAGCTTGTGACCGTCACGAGATTCTGGCTGCCTGGATGCTACACACATTACTTACATCAAAGACGAGTGGCCTCGTGCAAGGACTCGCGATGAGGCTCCATCAGGCGTCGCCAGACCACCCGGCGCTGGATGATCTCCGACAGGAAAGACCTCACCCAAATCGGACGAAGAAAAACACAGAATGCACAAAACTCCCTAGAACCCGGAAGACGCCTCTGTTTGCGCAGGTCGCGCGATGCTCTTCGGACATCCTGCATTTGCTGTTGATGCTGAAGCTCTTGTTCGCGCAACGCCTGAGAGCAATGTCTCGAGTGCTCCAAAACTGGCAAAGCCGTCAATTCGTCAACCATCAGACCTCCCGCTCCTTCTGAAGCTCAGCCTCCATCTGGCAAACCTGGGAAGACGGCAAGCTCAGTCATCAGCAATGCAGCAAAACTCTGACTACCGGCCTGCTGCGCGTCTACCTCCACTTCCTTCTGAGCTTCTTCTAGACGCTTCTGCTTGCCTTTCTGCATGCATGCCACTGCATGCCTGGCCACACAGACTCCGTGAGGTCGTGTAAAACGGCCTTCGAGGCGTCCCAGCTGCTTCTCGAACTTGGCCCTGCCGGGACCCGGGACCGTCTCAGCTCTAAGCCAGAGCGCCGCTTCCCGCAGCCCGCAACCGCGCCGTATACAAGAGATGCGGATGTCGCACGAGTCAATGACCTGAACACAGGACGCCCGAACAGCCAAGGCACAAGATTAATTAATCCCGACCTAATTATTCATTATTTTTGATCATGACTTTGCTTGGCATCACCGGAACTCTGCATTGCTCATCCGAAGGCTATGGAGGGCCGCGAAACGACAGGGACGGCTGCACGCTTGAGCTTGATGCGTTCTGAAACTTCTTCCGTTGCTTCGATTCACCGCTCGCCGGGCAGAGCATGGAAGCTACAGACTGGCCGCCTCGCTTAAGGTCTTCCGCTGCTCGAGCTTTTGCGATAACCGCCTGAGTATGACCAGCACTCCGATATCAACGAAGTTCCGGTCCCATCCAAGGCCTCTCCAACTCTTGGATTTCTTCATCGAGGGCTGCTCGCTCATGACTCGCCTTCTCTCTTTCCTAAGGATGCGAGACTGGGCCCTCGAATGTTTGGATTGCTGTTGAGAAACTGGACAAAACTGAGAAGCATGACTGCAGTATCCTCTGTCGTCTGCTGGTCTATAGCTTCTGTAACCTGCAGGCTTTTGTCCGAAGCTATGCACACTCCAGGCACCCAAACGTCGAGCAACATTCAAGGCGACTGCAATATGTCTCCACCTACCTGCTGCCACTCTTCTTTCAAGTTCTGCGAGTCCTGCATCGATTCGAGCCGATGAAGTCAACGTTGTTCGGCTTGGGGCCAGTCTAGACGTACTGAAAGACAAGCACAGTCACTCACATGGTCCAAGGACGGAGCGTGCGAGAGCACATGGAATCAAAGTTCAAAGTGCAGCCCAGACGTCCTTCTCGATGTGGGACTGTGCCAAATCCATGCGTTTCCTGCGACTGCGACGCTGAGCTGCACAAGTGGGGCTGCACAGCCAATGGTTGAATTGCTGTCTATCATCTATCAGCTCGCATCGACCGGCATGGAGGAAAATGCAAGAGAACGCGACACACTGCTTGAAAGGACTGAGAAGTAGCAAGTAGCATGCACAGGCCCGCGGGCCCTACCTCTCCGCTTCAATCCGGGCCTGCGAGCATGTTCTGACTAGGATGATCGGGTCAAAGGAAACTTGCCTCTTCTGCTTGAAGATGTCGGAGGCAGCGTTCCTCTGTGACTTGAAAGCCCTGACAGTATTGAAATCGAACGCGCTGCATGTCGGCAGCAGTCATCGCACCCAGCACAAAGCACGAAGCATGGCGCCTCTGCTCCTTCCTTGCGCAGAACCTTCAAAAGCGTGGTTGTGATCAAACTCGCCAGCTTGTGAGTGAACGTGCCTCCGCTCGATCCAGGGCGTCGTTGGCGACCGAAATTCGACTCCTAATATCATCACAACATACAAAGTTTAAGCCGGAACATTTGTCGAGAGTGCGTCCTGGTGAGGTTCAACAAAGTCTCTGCAAAAGTGACCATCTTCTTCGCACCTATGGCTACCTGCCAAGCAATCATACACCCATCTCGTCAACTCAACACATGCTAGTGCTAGCTGGCACGAACCCTGTCAGGGTGCCCTAAGTTAAAAAAGCACGCAAACTTGCAAAACATGGTGTGTTAGAAATCGAAGGTCCGGTCGATCGTGAACATATAGGAATGTTGCCGGCATCCGTAAATACGCTGACTAATCACAACGCAGACAGCTTGACCAGAGCCGGTTTGCGCAGAAACTTCAGAACTAACAGCATCCGAATTGCCGACAACATCCGACAACCATACGAACAGAAGATGACACCTAATCCTCAAATTGGCCAGCGCTTGCATCTGCACATCTGTCCGACTGTGCATCACTCAGCACAAATTCCGCCCGAGAAAGCGTAAGCTTCCTTCTTCACGCGGATTCCCCCAAATATTCATGTAGTGTTGATTTCGGACATCAGAGCAAGACGAGAACAAAGAACGAGGATGAACGACGGACATTGCTTAGCAGACCGGAGAAAACCGCACAACATGCAAAAGCCTTACCTAGCGCGCACGGAACAGTTGGAACAGCATTAGTCATAGTCATAGTCATTCATGGTTTGACGTAAATCAACTGGCTTGGTTTGCATTGGCATGATGCAGACCCGCTGTGGCCGGCAAATGCAACGCAGCAGAACGTTTTCATGCAAGAAACCATCGATGCGGCTGCTACATGAGAACATCGGTCATACAGTACGTCGTGATTGGACAAGCTCGCAGATCGATTTTGAATCACCTGCCAAGCTCGGCCCAACCGTGGCTATAACCCCCTCTACACAGTTGCGGGCGGCAGTTGGGGAGGTTGATGGTGATCCTTGGCCGCATCACGCAGCGGCCAGTTCACTTCACCGCATCAGTAGCGAGTAAATTCAATACATGATGCAAACCCGTTGTGGCCAAAGCGCAGCAGAACTTTTTCATGCAAGAGGCCATCGATTCGGCTGCTGAATGAAAACATCGGTCATACAGTACATCGTGATTGGACATGCTCGCAGATCGGGTTTGAATCACAAGACATGCCAAGCACGGACTAACAACCTTCACCCCACAACTCTGTGAGCACCGGCCAAGGACGCGGCAAGAGAGGGGCACAGTGGATAGGATTATGTCAGATATCCGCATGAAAATGGCACACCAAAAAGCACCATGCGCGCAAGCCCCCTTTTGCATGGTGGATTGGTGTGGCTGCCGACTCCCGGAATGTTCCTTCGGTCGGGGACCTCAGCCTAGAGAAAGGCCGTTTCAAAGTACAGGAGGGTCCCCTCCTTCAGGGCCTAAGGCACCTGGAGATCGGGAACCCTCCTTGTACAGAAGTGAAGGTTCCAAAATCTTGTGCCGTCCAGAAAGAAGCCTGTACAGGAGGCAGCCACATCCTCACCGGGCGCCCTGCGCGGGCCCATGGGTGAGGTCCGATGGGTCGTCGAAAAGACGATCTTCCAAGATAGAGCGAATGAGGGAAAAATGCTTGAGCACGGGTTCCACCGGCAAGCAGAGAGATGGAGTGAAACCTTGAAAGTTGGGATGAGTCAGATCATCAGCCCACGTGTTGAAGTCGCGCTTGACGTGGGAGGGAGCAAGCTGCATGCCATGCCGGTGCAGCTGGTACAAGATCTCCATGAGGATGACAGATGTTGGCATCCTCTTGGGTTTATCGTTCAGGAGCGAGTACACGTTCCCTTGGTTGTCGCTGACCAGGGGGAGCCTGAGGTTCGGGATGAACGCAGGCGCCTTCTCCATGAGAAAGTGAGAGAGGATCAGGGTGCCGAACATCTCGAGGGCAGCAATGCGCTTTTTCGGGCAGCCCTTATCAAAGGCCCATGGATGCCGCTCCGCGGTGACCTGGTAGTGGAACCAGAAGACTTCCGACTTGGACGGGGAGTCCACGTTGGAAAGCCAGCCGCCTACATAGGCGCTGCCATCATCCGAAGCGCTAGCATCTTTTGCCCCTGACCAAATGGCAAGCGGGGCATACGGCGATGCCTGTCGGAACTTCCGGTCAAAAAGAGAGAGGAGAAGAGCCGAGAGTGCACGGATCAGCTTGCCAGGACGTCCTGCAGTCAGGCAGGCCTTCTTCCAAGCCCAAAAGGGTTGGAGAAAAGGCTTAGTGAGGGGGCAGGCCGTTGTCGCCCACTGCAGCCTACCCAAAGCACTAGCGATCTGAGAGGCCGACATGACCTTACCGCGTTTGAGCTCTTCAAGAATGCCAATAACAAGCAGGTGCTTGTCTCGGGCCATCTGCACACAGGGCCCTTTTGGGTCAATGACAAAGCCCAGCCAAGTATTGACCTCAGCAAGCAAGGTTTTCTTCCAGCTCAAAGGAGTGCCGAGGGCAAGCAACAGCAAGCAAATTGCTGTCGCCAAGAGAGGGGAGTTCGATTTACGGAGCAGCCAGGCAAAGTCGTCGACAAAGACGAAACCCCAGTCAACCTCGGGAAACACGGCATACAGAATCCTAAAGGCACCTGGTAGTCCCCCCCTCCCCGGAGGGCATCCCCCCTACCGGGGTTCCCCCTCCACTTTCCTTGTTCAAAAAGGGGGGCTCAGGCCGGGCGAACTCGGGATGCCGCGATCTCGTGGATCTTCTTGAGGCCATCCCGCTCCGGGTTGGAGAGCACCACCGACCAGATCATGTCCGAGACGGTGCCCATGAGGTTCGTTTTGCTGAACCGCAGCGAGCGATCGCGAGGGGCCGCCGTGGGCTCCACCCTCTTGTAGAACTCGATCCGGTCCTTGACCCAGGCCTCGTAGAGGTGCTGTGGAGGCTCATCCAAAATGAGCTGGAGTTGAGCAGCCTTCCCCCGGTGCTCCCCCGTGATCAGCAGGAACCTGCTTGCACCTTTGCCTCCGCGCCAGAATCCCCGACAGCGACGGCAAACGTAGCCCTCACGGGTCTCACCCTTTTTCTTGTCGACAATCTCCCAAGGAGACACGGAACTGAGGACCAGGCCACACTCCATTCTGGCCCAGAACACGTGGGCCGTCTTATCCCCCGCGTTCTTCTTCTTGTAGTCGTCCGAGGCCACGCTCGAGACGTTATCCGGGGTGACAGGCGGGAGAGCGCGCTCCTGCTCCGACCCGGGGTCCATGAGGATCCTTTCAGCGCCAAAGGCAGCTGAGGTGTCCATGTCCCCCAGGCCGAGGCCCTGGATGTAGCTCTCCGCATAGCCAAGCTTGCGGTAGATGGGGGCGGCGTACTCCGGCTTGAGGCGGGCTGTCCACCACTGCTCCGTGTTGCAGCGCCACGCCATCTTGATCTCCACCACCGCCTCCTGGCCCAGCGAGTTGGAGAGCGAGCGGTAAATCTCCGGGAAGTCCCGGAAGGCCTTCAGTGGAAGGGTGATCCGTTCGTCACACACGGCTCGCAGTCGCATGTGCTCCTTAGAGTCGTGGATGTCCGCCACAGGGAGGTCCAAAACCACCTGGGGCGTCCGATTGATGAAGACCTTGGCGGCGAAGAAGGACCCCATCTCGCGGTAGAGCTGCTTCCATTCCAGATCCGTTGTGGGTGCCGGGAGGTCGTGCAGGATCACAAACTCCTTGGCCTCCTTCATGAGCGCGCGGTGGTCGTCCCTACGCTGGAGGTTCTGCTGCTTGTTCTTCTCCCCCCGCTTGTGGGACTTTATGGTGATCGGCAGCTGGCTCCACACAGCATACAGGTGCCTGGCCGAGTAGGTGTGGCCGAAACAGGAGAAAGGCTCACCAGATCCCACGTCTGCACTTCCTTTTGCCAGTGGGTGCCATCTTCCCCTTCCGCATGGAAGGGCCCGATGATCTTGCTCAAAGGGGGCCTCGTGCCCATTCCGACCTGTGCCTCAATCTCCTCCACAGTGAGGGCGATCGGCTCGAAGAAGGGCTGTCTGAAGGAGCAGGGGTGTGTCCTCATCTCCAGCATGAGCTTCTCCGGCTCAGGAGGGAGAGGCTTTGCCCACGTCGGGGCTACGAGGGGGCCCTGCATCTTCTTCCATTTGCCCCCGATCATCCGCTGCTCCCCAATGTGCAGCTCGATAATACGCTTGAGGCGCATGATCTGGAACTCGACCGAGCCCAGAGGAACACCGAGAACTGCTTCAGGGGACTGCTCCTCAGGGCCAAAGGCACCTGTGGAGGACAGCCCCTTGCCTAGTCCCGGGCAACCCGATCGCCTTCACGCTGGAGCGCGGCCAGACTGGGGAGCTCCTGAAGCAAGGAGGCCGGGAAGGGGTTCCTGCTCTGGTTCAGCAGGAACTTCGTGTTGAGGTACCTCTCCATATCGTCCAGCTCCATGTCCTTGAGCGGGGTCTCCGGGTTGAAGACGTTCATCTCCAGGGCTGCACGCAGCTGTGGACCCCAGGCGTCGATGGAGTCGGCCACAGGCTTGAGGACCCTGGCGCGTTCGGCCCCCTCTTCCTGCATGCGCTTGTTCGAGGCCTTGGCCTCCTCCAAGGTGGTCTGCGCCGCAAAGCACTCCTCGCCCTGATTTCCCGGGCCGAAGGTAGTTGCGCTTCAAAAGGGAGCGGAGCTTCTCCGTGTCCAGCTGCCGCGCCCTTGGACTCCTCGACGCTCTGCGCGCCCGCTTGCATCTCCACTATCACGTCCAGCTGGGGATTGATGCGCTCCAGGAAGTGTTCCTCCGTGGGCTTCTTGGGCTCCTTGTCCACCGGGCCCGCACTCTTCTTTTTAATCTCCATCGCTGCCGCGAGCTGGGGGAAAGCCCTGGTTTCCTGACTCGGCTGCCAGTCTTCCTTAAGGTGTGGGCGATCCCCAGCGTCCTTGTTCGCAAACTGCACCTCGTCGAAGGGCTGGCTCGCCACCGTGTGAGCCAAGCTAAGTTTCAGGGCCATAGGCACCTGGTCGGCAAAGCTGAGCTCCTGCTGATCCGTAGGCCTGGGCGGGGGCTGAGCCCACGAGCCACTTTCCACGGAGGCAGCTTCCTTCTGGGCCTCGTCAGCATCCGTGTGCCAGGTCACTCCCTGGGGGCCACAAAACATGCGCCAGGAAGCAGAGCCCAGCTTGATCTCTGCCGAGGGTGGACCCTTGTCCACCGCAATGACCGTCTTTTGGCAGAGCTTGCACTTCCCCTCGACCTTGTTCTCCGGTCGCTGCCAATCTGCAAAACAGTTCGGGCACATGAGGGTAGCCCCTGTGCTGCCAGGCTGCAGCTGACCCATGCTGCTGTGGCCCACTCCTCTGCGAGCACGATTGTAAGGAGCTGCCAGCATCTTCTCCTGGGCGAGCTGTCTCTTGTAAATCTGGTAGACCTCCAAGACCCTCTCGACAGCAGGGCGTGTCCAGGTCTCCGTCTTGAGCTTGGTGAACAAGGAGGCGATCTCCTCCTGGGACAGCTGCTGCGCTCCTTTTGCCGATGCCAGGGAAGTCATCCGGGAAGCCCTCGATGCGGAAGACCTTCTCCTCCAAGGTGCCGGCTGGCAGGGCTGAGTAGGGCTGGACCCTTGACGAGTCACCACTTCCCATGGGGTCATCCAAAGCACCCCCCTCAGGGACAAAGTCACCTGGGATTGGCACCTCAGGACCCGATGTGTCCATCCCGGTCATGGCCTCCGTGTGGGGGACGACAGGGTCCGTGTCCATGGCGGCAGCGGTCCTTCTCGCTGCCTTTGGTCATCAGACGTGCCATGGCCGCATCCATTTCCTGGAGCCGCAGGTCCAAGGTCGTATCGTCCACCTCCAGAGTCGTGAAGGAGGTCAAGGTGGAGTTCACCGTCTCATCCTCGTGGGCGGAGAGATTGTGTGCCAAGGTAGCACGGGCCAAGGCCACATCATCATCCGGCTTCTCCCATTCCGGATCACTGTCCCCTGTGTCACGAGGGGGGACCAGACTCTCAACCGTCTCCATGCTGGAGGCAAGAACATCATCGACATTAGCAACGGGGGTGAATGCCATGATCGACGGTCGCGAGAGAAAAAGCGGGAGCGAAAGTTTCAATTTTTGAAGGACCCAAGGTCCACGATCTTGGGCCAAAATGGCAGAGCCATTTTGGCAGACGTCTCCTGACATAAGACTTGCAATTCGGCAAGCTCTGTTGCAAGTAGCTAGAGTGCAGCGTGTCCACCAGCAACGGCGGTCGTCTTTGAGAATGCCGAGGCGAGGAAAACCACATGTCAGGAGGCGATGCTTCTACGCCGTGGCACGTTGTACTGGCAGAATATATTCCTGGAAAGCATAGCCGGCACCACCACTGGCACGAGCATGCGTTAATCGGTCTTTTTTGGACCTGTTTTTGTAGTTTGCTTTCGATGGCTCGTTAACATGACTAGTTCTGGGCAACACAACTGTGACGACTTGCTTACATATGTCATTCAGTGCACCCAGCTGTGACGACTTGACGACTCGCGTGCATGCATCTTTCAGTGCAATGCTGCAGTGAAGACTTGCAAACATGTCATTCTGTCCATTGTGGCTGGGTTCTTCTGTGCTTTGTTTGCTTTTTTGTTGGTAGCACATGTAGTTCTGTGCAGTGCTAGGGAAACACTTGCAACACTTGTGATCCAGTGCAGAGCGACGGTCAGGCTTGTTTTGATGACCCGTGTACTCTTTTGTCATTCAGTGCAGTGCAGCTGTAACGACGTTCATACACATGTCCTCCAAGGCGGTGAAGCTGCCGTCTATCGGATTTAAGTGCGGCAACAGGCAACGCCCGGCAGGGTGGAGTAACAATAGTTGCTTGACCACACGTGGCTCCCTGCCAAACCTGGTCTCTGGCAACATGAATCTTAGCCATGTGCCACAGTTGTTTTGTCAGTTTTGATGAATACATCAGCATCAAAGCTCGTTACCCGACTGCACTTGTTTTCGCCCCCCTCTCCTCTGCCCTCTCCCCTCTCCCCTCTCCCCTCTCCCCTCTCCCGTCCCCCCCCCTCCCCTCCCTCCCCTCCCCACACGCACTCACTCCCTCACTCACTCAGTCACGCACAGACGCACATATATACTATCTGATGCTACCCGGCCCGCCTTCTAACAGATTGCTAGAACACAAAATTGAACAGTGACAGCGCAGCCTTACATGCACCAGATCCTCGCATGGTCGGCATGCCAAATTGATCCACCCCTGGAGCATGGAAAATTACTGTGCTGGCACCTCCTCAAGCTCTTTCGAAATCTCGTCTTTCAATCCCTGGATGGTGCAATCCAGCTCGTCGGCCTTTACTACATGCAACCAATGAAAGGCGTGCAGAACTGCAAGCGACACTACTACGACACACTACCTAGGAGATCGCAGCTCCTCCTCAAACTGCTCGTTGTCACACAGCTGGTTCTGGTCAGCCTCGATTGGCTGAGCGCTGAGGTTCAACATGTTTCAAATTTCCTGCACAGAGAATTTATTGTTCTTTGGCCAGCCTCGGTCTTGGCTAAGCGTTGCCGAAGCTCAGCGATACTGTCAGCAGTTCGCTGGCTGGCTGATAGGCAGCTTGCCTGCATAGTACACTTTGCAAATTTGAAAGTGTAGTCCCGAAGCAAAAATGAAAAAAGCTTCGAATATATTGAGGCAGCAATATGCTACGATTTGATAGGCTTGTAAGGAAGTGGACGCTATGCTGACACAAGTATATACATGGATAGACGTTGGTGCGACGAGTTGTTGCATCATACTGTCTGTCTCCCAGGCTTACGTCCTTTGTTTGTGCGGAGCCTCGATAGATCCCCGGACAACTCCACTACCTTCAAAGCCTGCAAAACTTGAAGTTTGCCCTTGCACACTCCGTCACAGTTTGCGGCTAGTCAGTTTCAAAATGGCTTTGGCTCCTTGATTAAATGCGTTCGTGTCCTCCGTGCTGCTCGTCTGTGCCAGGTTCGATATGCGTAAGCTCGTTGTGTTTAGTTTTTGTAGCTCGGAATCTAGCTTCGATTCCTTCAGTACCCTGTTTAGCTGTCTGCAAGCATAAGGCTAAACCGATCCCAATTGTTGCGGTGCACCTGCGCTTCAAGCAAATGCTGCTGCTCCTGTGGCGAGATCAAGGCTGCAGAGCGTGCAAAGGCATCACCTTCGGTGCTTGTGGCTTCTCCTTGTCACTCTCATCTAGTTGCTCTTCCAGCCACTGGCGCACCCCAGCAGCATTGAACCTAATACTAATCACTGATGGTTGCGAAGTACTAGATGAATGCAAAGAGCGAACTTGAATGAATAAGCCCATCGCGCACGGCGCAGCTTCTCTTGCCTCGCAGTGGCTCTCATGCGCATACAAACATGAAAAACGACTTGTCTTGAACGAAATACTTCCGATGCTGGCATGGCCCAAAAACTGCCAGTGCATTCCGCTGCACCGACAGCATAAGTGTGCCACGGAGACGGTGCCGGTTCCGGGGGCGGCGGTGGCTTTGCCTGTAACGGCATCTCAAAGGTGAGTCGAGCAAACCAGGAATAGCACGACCTCAAGCCTTGCCGGCCTTGCCTGCGTTTCCGGTGCTGCCGCCAGCACCGCCTGCGCCTGCGTCGCCTGCGTCGCCTGTGCCTTTCTCTGCGCCTCTGCCGCCAAGGCCTCCGCCTTGCGCTCCATGGCCGGCCTTGGCGCCCGTGAAAGCGCGAAACCGATTGGGATTATTCGGGATTGCGAGTTGGCATGTGGCGCACGGATGCACCCGGCCAGCACTTTGTGGCGGTGCGTTGTTTCCCCACATGTTTCGTGACCCATGCAGCATGTTTTTACCAGTGACAGTGCAGCGGGTGATGGCTGCCGTACTTGGGCAGGTGGCCTTCTACTGTTTGCAGCGCCTGAGTCGGTCGTCATCATCGGGGGTACATCTTGGATGGGTTCCTGGTTTGACCGTGTTTCCGTCCAGTGAGGAACGTGTCTCTGACATTACTAGTGCCTGTGCTTGATAGGTTGCTTAAGCATGTCTGCCCAGGCAAGATGACCAACATCACCTTTAGAACCTTTACACAAATTCGATTGGCAATGAATGTCTGAGAGCATTGAGAGCTCGACGCTGCGGCAGGCACAGCCACAGCCTACGATGATGCCAAGACCGACAGCACGAAAGACATGGCAAGCCAGGAAGCATGCTGACATGCTAAAGACAAAATGCCCGACGACCTCACGCCTTCGTCATGTCATCGGAACCATGCGAGACGTGGACATGCTACCAACGGCCTCCGTAGACTCCTCCTTGGCGATCATTTCCTTGAGGGCTTGAATGGTGCAATCCAGTGCTTCCGCCTTGGCAGAGCTCAAGTCTGCTGTCTCCGGAAAAAAAGCGCCGAGAGGCCTCTTCGAATTGTTCGTTGTCACAAAGCCGCTGCAACTCGGCCTGAATGAGAACAAGGGGCTGCAATCTCTTTTGATCTCCTTTGAGCCGCCTCGGCCGTTTCTAAGCGTTGCTGCAGCTCGGCAACACCAACTCCTGCTAAAGGAGCCTGACGAAACGCTGCAACTGCTTGAATGCTAAACTCATTCAATCATCACAACAACTCAAGACTAACTCGAGGCTTGGAGAGTCATGCCCTGCTCACATCCCGCTAAGGTCACCGTGGTTGGGGAGGCAAAACAAAACCGGGACAAAAGACATCTGCGAAGACTGAGCCCGTCACCTAAGGTTCGTTCGACACTAGCCCGTTTCGCTGGTTATACAAGCTGACGAATCACGCGTGCACGTGATCCGGCAGTGACCGAGATAGCGATAGACACGGACATAGCGAGCCAAAGAGAGGGAGAGAGAGAGAGAGAGAGATAGAGACAGAGACAGAGACAGAGACAGAGACAGTGACATAGAATTGATCCGATATGGAAAATTCCATGCAGTTTCGCCTGCTACCGGAGCACCTCCTGCGTGCAGCCAGGGGAGCACAAAGAAAGTCTTCGAGGAGCACGAAAACAGCAATTGCTTCAGCCCGGAAGCGGAGCAGGTCTGCCATTGAGGGTCTGCACAAAACGACAACTAAAATTACAGTGCCTCAGCTGCTGTCGTCTCATTCCAACATAACGGAAACTTATTGATCGGCCAACTTGTCCACGAAATATGCGCAAGCTTAAAACATGCAAGGCCTGGAACTGTCCAATCGAAACAGCATCTAGGTCAGCCAGACCAAAACGGGGCACACAAAACGAAGCTATGCTCCGAAGCTGAACGAGGCCTGCAGAAAGAGAGAACGTAAGAACGCTTGGTACACAAGCAAACCTCATGATTGATTCGATCTGCTTGTCAGCAGGACTGCTAAATCTGATGCACAATGTTTTTCAAGCCCTGATGATGCAAGAATCGACCGCCATGCCCGAACAGTGGAAGCTGACCTTGGAGTCTTCCTGTCGTCCTTGTTGTGCAAAATCAAACCTGAGCTTACATGTACATATCACGGTGACAATGTTTGTCAAAAGCTTGTTACAAGAGGATGTTCCTCTTTGTAGGCAGAAGGTCCCGACGGAGACGGCGACGGATCTGGAGGCGGCGGTGGTTTGACCTGTCACACTTTGTGTTTGATGGTTTCTGCTCCCGTTTGCACGCCCGCCTGCGGCTGCATCTCCTGAGCCGCCGCCTGGACTTGTGGAGCCTGCGCAACAGCCTCCGAAACGGGCACAACCCCTTCCAAAGGCTTGCGGTCGATGGCCAGCCTTGCACAGTTTGTGAGAATGCGGTAAAGTCTTGTATCTTGCATGCTCGAAAGTGCCATGGCATCTGACAATTCTGACAAAGGCAACTGAGGTGGCAACTCATCCACTGTCGGTGCCGGGAGAGGCATACGAGTCTCCTATCCAAGCTTCACTGCCGTCCCAGGTCACTGGTTCGCACACCCAAGCGGCTGTTATCAGTACCATCAACACTTGCCACAGAAAGAGCGCGGCCAGGCTCAATTGTCTGAAAAACCTTTATCCATACCTGCCCATGCCCCCCCATTCCCCCATAATGGTGGAGCAAAGCTTTCTTTCTTTCTGGCGGGCTTAGGGGTCACGTCGTGACCCGCAGGCACTTGGCCCGCCCGACCACTTGTGGTTTTATTTAGTGGCCGGCTTTTGGGGACCCTGATGACTACGGCACAAGCAGCACGATTTGCTCTCGGTTTCTTGGTTGGCCCGAACAACAACAACGAAAAACAACCCCGGCCTCATCGCCGCGCCCCTGTGGCTTACATGCTGAAACAGGTCGCTCTCTCTCTCTCTCTCTCTCTCTCTCTCTCTCACTCTTGTTCGTTAGACTATACCCAAGGCATAAGTAAGATGCCAAACCAGACTCCCAAATATCAAAACCCAAATCGGGCAAAATCTTTTTTTCGTATTGCGGGGAAGACGAGGGGGAGCGTGTGGTTGTAGAATTGGGGAATATACAGTACGAACTATCGAAAACCGTTTATCCGGTTGCACTAGTCCGCTAAATTAGAGCGGAGGATATCAACTGCCACGACATGCTAATCTCGCCTGTAGCGTTAACTCCAAGGGATGCCAGGTTAAGGCATCGGCTTTCACGGCTCCGATCGTGATCGATGAAAGTCGATACACAAAGCAACCACTGCCAGGAACAATCTCATTGAATATCCCCAACAACATCCAACACCCATGGCTGTCGTTGGGCTCACATCATAGTACCAGAACAGCTGACAAAGCGGCAGATGGGTTGTCCATACCCGGCCGGGCATGGAACACAAGATTACAATTCGAGCAGTTTATGGGTCGCTGCGAATTCGGGTGCACGGACAGCATTGAGCCTCGACAAATGGTGAAACCAGGGCCAAGTGCGTTGGTAGACAACGTTTTCGCGCACCAAAACCCCGGAGTCAAGCACCAAAACCCCTGCTTCAAGCACCAACCTGCTTCAAGCACCAACAAGCCCTGGTTCCGCCACGACCCTAAGCTCCCCCCACCCTCACCCTTCCCTGCACGAAAGTTTCCCTGTCCTGCCTACCCGACCGCACCCTATCCCCCTCCCAACTCTACCCTACCCCACCCTAACCTAGCCTGCCCTTCACCACTTCACCACCCCACCTTTCCACACCCTCCGACCACCCTTACCTCCTGTGTGCCGCCTTTGACCCCATTCTGCTAACTGACCCTTACCCTCTGCCCTTGCTGCCCTGCCCCACCCTACCCTATAAACCCCTACCTACCTTGTCCAACCCGCCTAGCCCGAAACCCCATCCACCTCCCTTCTCTCCGTAACTGCATCCACCGGCACCAGACCACAAAACCTATCGAACCCCATCACCGCAACTTCTTGCAGCAACCATCCACCCACAGCACCCGAAAAAAACCCACCAAAACCCCAACCCCATCTCATCTTCTGCTACCCAAACCTACTGTACCCCACTGTGAAGAACCATACCCTGCCCTACACCGACCCTGGCGTACCGTACCCTCCCCTCCCCTACCCTGCAAAACCCACCCAACCCAACACACGCGCACAACCCCGCTTTACCCTACCCCACCCTAACCTACCCTGCCCTAACCAACCCTTTCCTGCCAAACCCTAATTGACCCCGCCTGCCAACTCAACCCCCTGCCCCACCCTAGCCTTTAGGCCCCTAACCCACCCTACCCTAATCGATCCTGCCAAACCCTGCCCTGCCCCTACCCAACCCTTTCCTGCCAATGCTCCACACAACTCCAACCACCCGCACGCACACCCTACCCTACCCTAAACTTTACCCTACCCCATCCTGACCTACGTCAAATCCTAATTTAACCTACCCTAACCTACCATTACCTCCCCTGCCTGCCTGCCCTTGACCCCATTGCGCGAACTCAACCCACAGCAGCCGCACAACCCTACCCTAATCTTCCCCGCAAAACCTACACAACGGGAACCCAACCCTGCCCTACCCTACCCTGCAAAAACCGGCCCAACTCTTCGCCACAAAACCACAAATTCCAACCCACCAAGCAACTACCCAACCCTACCCTCCCCTACCCTACCACACCCTACCCCAAACTACTCTTCGCCCTAACCAATCCTTGCCTGCACCCTAAACCCCAAACCCGAAACCTATCACCCGAACCTCCCCTGCCTGCCCGAACCTGCCCTCACCTACCCTATCCCTCACCTGACCCTAACCAACCCTTTCCTGCCTACCACAAAACCTACACAACTCCAACCACCCACAAGCACACTACCCTACCCTCCCCACCCTGACACACCCTGTCCTACCCAATCCAAACCAACCCTCCTAATTTAACCTACCCTAACCTACCCTACCCGAACCTACCACCGCAAGGAACTACCCACCCTCCCCTCCCCTACCCTACCACACCCTACTCTACCCTGCCCTGCAATCCTTTCCCGCCAAACCCTAAACCTTTTTTCCTGTCCGAACCTACCTTGACCCCATCCTGCCCTACGCTAACCTACCCTATCCCTCGCCTGACCCCCAACCCCTTTCCTGCCAAACCCGAACTCCCTAGCCAACCCTAACCTACCCCACCCTCCCTGCTCCCTAACCAACGCTGTCCCACCCTACTTGACCCACCCCACTCAAGCTTCCACCATTACCTCCCTGCCTGCCTGCCCTTGACCCCATTGTGCTAACTTACCCTTACCCTCACCCAACCCACAGCAGCCGCACAACCCTACCCTACTCTTCCCCGCAAAACCTACACAACGGGAACCCAACCCTGCCCTACCCCACCCTGCAAAAACCGGCCCAACTCTTCGCCACAAAACCTACAAATTCCAACCCACCAAGCAACTACTCAACCCTACCCTCCCCTACCCTACCACACCCTACCCCAAACTACTCTTCGCCCTAACCAATCCTTGCCTGCACCCTAAACCCCAAACCCGAAACCTATCACCCGAACCTCCCCTGCCTGCCCGAACCTGCCCTCACCTACCCTATCCCTCACCTGACCCTAACCAACCCTTTCCTGCCCTACCACAAAACCTACACAACTCCAACCACCCACAAGCACACTACCCTACCCTCCCCACCCTGACACACCCTGTCCTACCCAATCCAAACCAACCCTCCTAATTTAACCTACCTAACCTACCCTACCCGAACCTACCACCGCAAGCAACTACCCTACCCTCCCCTCCCCTACCCTACCACACCCTACTCTACCCCAAAATACTCTTCACTTGACCCTACCCCACCCTGACCTACCCTGCCCTGCAATCCTTTCCCGCCAAACCCTAAACCTTTTTTCCTGTCCGAACCTACCTTGACCCCATCCTGCCCTACGCTAACCTACCCTATCCCTCGCCTGACCCCCAACCCTTGCCTGCCAAACCCGAACCCCCTAGCCTACCCTAACCTACCCACCCTCCCTGCCCCGAAAACCAAACCCTGCCCTACCTACCCCGCACAACCCCCCTAAACCACCCGCAAGCAACTACCCTACTCTTCACTTCACCCTACCCCACCCTGACCTACCCTGCCCTACCCTGCCCTACCAACCCTTTCCTGCCAAACCCTGACCTTCACTATCCTGCCACCCTGACCTTTGTTGCCTGCCCGAACTTGACCCAACCCTGTCCTACCTACCCTACCCTACCGCTCTCTGCAGCAGCAGCCCCCTTGACCCCCTCCTTGCCAACTCAACCCCTGCCCCACCCTACCCTAAAGGGTAGACAACGATTTCGCTAACCAAAACCTCCGCATCAATGCATGGGCACCGTTGCTACATATTGGTGTTTTGTCGTTTGCGGTTTTGCGGCTGCTGCATCACTTTCTCAGGGCAAGGTTGTTGAATGCTTTGTCGTTGGTGCGTGGTGTTGTTTTGGTGCTTGTTGCCGGTGTTGGTGGTGCTGGAAGCGTGGTGCTCGAAGCTTGGTTGCTTGAAGCGCGGCCGGTTGCAGAAGCAGGGAACTATCCAAGTGCGTTTAGCAGGCCTCGGAAAATGTATTTGGGGTTGGTCGGAGGCTTCGGGAGCTCGATTGCAGATCGGGGTTTGAAGCCAGGAACACCAGCAAAGCTGAAACAGGTCTAAATGCATTTTGCAAGCCTTGAAGAATGAATTTTGGGGCCCAGGAAACCAAACGACAGCATTCGCAGCTCGCATCAATCTTGCAAGTTATCCTCGCGTGTGTTCACATGCCCAGGTTGGAAGTTCAGCAAGGGTGCCATGCGCTGGCTTGATGTTGATGTCGGGTTTGGATCACTGTCGTATGCTTTTGTGCACCCGTGCAGCTTCAGTCGAATGCGGTGGTAAAGACATCAACGTTGTTCGACACATGCTCTGCCATATGAGTACTATCGTCCCGTCGTTTCCCATTCTCCCTGATTTTTGGCTCAAGATGCTTGCCTCCGTGTGTGGCCTTCGAGAATCCGTGCTGTGCCGGCTTGAAAGGGATCCTGAAATTGCATCCGCCTTCCTGGATTGTTGCATGTATTCTCTCGCTCCGATGGCCAGCACTTTCCAGGCACCTTCTGTCAAGAGTGCTCTGCGGCTTTTTGCATCTTTGAGACATGATGATGATCTACACAACCTGCGTCTTCATCCAACAGATGTAGATGATGTAGATGCGCATCTTCTGGCTTACCGTTTGCGTATTGATGAGCTTTGCATAGCTTTGCCAAACGAAGCCAGAATTTCGAAAGACACTGGTGTTAACGATGCAAGCAAAATGATGGTGGGTGTGGCAGCACGCACGTAAGTCTGTGCAGACCATGTACGATCCTAGCTACCCTTACCTGAAGCAAAACTAATTCTCGTGCTGCACCTCTTGTGGACGGGATGCATGGCCTGGAAGGAGTGCCTGAAAACAAACGAGCAGCATCTCAAAATCCATCGTAGAGTACGGGAGTGTCGGGGGTGCGCCGTGCGCCTTACGCGTCTTCCGACGAGTGCCTTCTGGAACGTCTAGCGCACCTCCATGCAGCATGTGATGTCGCGAATGGGACAGCAGCTGCCAGAAGATGCCAGAATAACTATTCTTTAGGTGTTCATGCACACCCTCAGCACAACCATGCGAAAAAGAGCAGGAAAACCAGTGCACCTGCAACCTCGCGGTCACGCGGCACAGACTCCTGCGCCCACGTCAAGTGGACTGCACACAATTTACGGCCGTTTCTCGGAGCCTGCAAGCCGCCGATGAACGAAAAAGCAGAGCTGTCCCCCCTGCGGAGAACCGAGTTCTGCAAAGACAGCATGCCGGGCCACACTACGCCACTTTGAAACATGTCTCGATGAGGACCCGTCAATGACGGACTGCTTTCACCAGCGCTTGCGCCTCCTGCCAGCAAGTGTCGAGTTCGCACACAGGCATGTGCATTGGTCAGGTTGCCTGTTGGGTACGCTGACGTTGCCGGGGCCTAGAGAGTCGGAATGGAAGGAGCCGGAAGAGCTCAGAAACACAATGGACCGCAGCTTAGAACCACACCGGATCGGCCACATCTGCACTGTTGACGAAAGTGAAGATGGACTCCTTTACGCGACAAAACCGCCAAACACGACTCTCGTGACCTTGTTCCATACTTCGCCGAACAACTCAGCGCAGGACTGCAGGGACCCCGGAGGCCTGCGAACTGGGCACCTCAGGCGAAAGCAAAGCCGCGCGTCAACAGCCGCAGCCGACGAGCTCCTGGGCCCTGGGCGCCCACCAGCCCTACTGGCTCTTGCTGTGTGTCGGAGTTCAGGAAGCTGAAGGCGGAAGTACCTCGCTTCTCGGGCAAACCCAAATATCCCCAAATCACGAGGAATGGCAGCACACCCTCGCCAGCCACGCTCAGGCTTCCAAAAAGGCCGGAACCTCAGCAGTTGACGAAGGAACACCACGTCGCCGCTTTCAACTAGCAGACAGTCGGACATTTCACAATGGTTGAGGAGATGACCGGAACTGTCCGCATCCTTCTGGGGCGGTTCCTGACCGAACCGAGGCAACGGCAGAAGCATTCAACCATAAGTTTTTCTCAGAATTCAATGCTAGAATCAGTCGAGATCTGAAGGACAATGAAGCGCTCAATCAGTGTCCAAGATTCAGCCGCTTGGGTCTGAAGACCTTCGAAAAGTGACCTTGTCACAGCAAGACTGTCCGACGACTACGGACAAACAAGCATCCAAGGCAGAAACGCCATGTCATCTGAGCATGCACGCCTATCTCACTGAGTGATAGGACAGTATGCAGAATTTAGTACCTATGCTTCTCCCCGATGCCAGAGAACATGGTTCGAAGAAGCAGTGCTGGCTTCTGGCTAGTGGCAAGACTTTTCGTGCGATGGTCGCAACTCCTATGATGACCTTCGATAAAGCACGCCTTAAATAAGCTTCGAAGCTGAGTAGCTGCCGCACAAAACACAACTGCAGGCCAAAGCTTCTCCGGCCCTGCGATGGACAAGGGATGACAAGGGGCCACCTCCTAGCGGTCCTAGCTCCTGGAGCACGACAGCATTTTGGCTCCTCGACGGACACTGCACAGCTGGTGAGACGAGAGAAGTCTGAGAAGTCCAGTGCCGCAGCATTTGCAATCTGGCCCGGTTTTGCGGCGATCTCAGCAACAGACAGCCTAACTTCAGACTTAAGTTGATTCAATGAGCCCAAGAGTTGCAAAAGGTGCAGCGACTCTGATGGAGATGCCTTTGGGAAAACATGGCAAGGTGTCCTTCACTTCGCACCAAAAAGCGACAACAACTCGAACATAGGATGCGCGTAGACATCACGGAGCTTGACGACTCCCTACGAAGTGCCGCAAGTGTCGTCTTTCGGAAAGCGGGGCTTCGAATGCTAAAAAACTTACTCAGCTCTGTCGCGGGGCATCTTGCCTGCATGCGGTCCGACAATCCGCAGCTGTAGCAACACTCGAGATGCCTCACCTTGCCCGCACTCCCTCGCGAGATTTGATCCTGGCAGGCCGTGGTTGGCGATGAAGAGCTTCTGTTGCATTGCATGAGGCGCACCCCCCTCGTAGTGAGACAGGTGAAGATGTCGGAGTGGATGCCTAACCCAGAGCATTGACCAACGGCACTCCGAAATTGTCTTCGATAAGCTTGCTGCTTGCTCAGACGGCGGAGTGGGTGACATTGCCGGTGGTGTCCCCTGAAGCCGTGTTGGATATCACCGCCAACGGCGAAGCGAAGTCTTCAAAACCCTTCGGCGTCAAAAAAGACTTAGGACGCAGGCCGCCGGTTCCGCCGTGCCTGGGCCATGCTGGCAGGCTCTGGGGTGGAATCTCTGCCTTCGCCCCTCGCGATAACGTCAAAAGCCGACTCTCGGACTGTTTTCGCTGCCTTAGTTGACCACAAGCTTTAGACGACTGCATTTTGTACCCGCATCTGGCTCTGCAGGCGAAGGACGGGTCGAAACCACTCCACCGCGCAAAGGCCGCACAATGGTCGGAGCACGGCGGACCTGCAAACCCAAACAGCAACCAATGATGACTTCCACGGCATCTTCTTGAAACGTGCCTGAGAGCTGTTGCCACTTGCACCACACGGACAATTCTTGCGCCCCCTCACCTTGTTAGCCAGTGCCGCCAAGAACCCTGCTGTGAAGAAGCTGATTATTACTACATTTCCAGGTCTCAGATTCCGACATCAATCATTGCGGTCAGATTTGCGCACTGTGTCAACAACTTCTCGTATTTTTGCTTCGCCTGCCAGCACGAAGCACTAGCCCCTAGCTGTAATCCTTGCATGTCCTTACATACCACACAGCATGGACTGCGGTGAGCAGAAAACCTCCCGCAAATTTCTTTCCAGCTGTTGAATGCGCTGATCCTTTCGCTCGATCTTCTTGTCGCTCTCTGCAACCTCGACCTTCGCATTTAGTCCAGACATGAGATATTGCATAGTTGAAGCAACAGGAAATAACAGGAATCTCCGAGCCTTCAAACCACTGTTTTGAGCAACCAGCTTGTGATACATCACCTTGCCCCCAAAAGCCCAAAGCGAGAGCACGCAAAACAGCAAACGCTAGAATGCAGCAAATGTGCCGTGAGCTGTTCCAGATTCTTGTCCAGCTGCGAGACCTAAGCTCTCGTCTCGTTTGCGCGCATAGCCAATGCTGAATGGGGAGCAAGACCTTTCTCTTCAAAGGTCTCTCTGGATCTTTATCCTCGTCTGCTTCTTTACGCAGCCTGCTCGACCTCGCAGTCCGAGGTCCAGTGACCGTGAAAAAGATCTGCGTGACTCATCGGCAGCTCCGCTCCGGGCCCTTTGTTGCTGGGCGTGTCAGCGGCCTCGCTCTCGCGTTGCACCGCTCTCTATGCATGCTTGGTTGCGGACTCGGAGTGCTCCGAGACTCCGAGAGCCGTGCTGTCGTGGACTGGATGAGGTTCTGGTGGCTCTTCACCAACTCCTGACGCGACATTCCGCAACAGTGAGAACCGCATGTCACAGCGTCCTTCGAACAGGACAGGATGACACAAGAACTCTCCGGTCTGACAACTATGTACGCGATCTTCGCACGTAAACAAGGATCGCCTCCAGTTCTTCAGCTTGACGCTTGTTGTCATTTCGCAGCCTGCCATCATCCGCTCAGGGCCAACTTCCGCAAAAGAAAAAGGGGACCAACCCAAACAACCCCTTCGTGAGCAAAAATGGGCCAGCTCCACTTCTGCAGTTCGGAGACCTGAACAGGCTTCAGCTGAGCTCTCGAAAGAGTCCAAAGAAATCCGTGCCGGCTTGTTTCAGGACCATCTAAAATGTGCTCTACCATGCTGCCTGCTCATTCCTCTCGTACTCCATGCTTTCCCGATCATTTTGTGCCTTGGCCACAGTTGCACTTCACGCCTAGCAGTGTGTTGCTCTCGTTTTGTATCACTTGGGATCTGACATCCATTGCCTGCATCGTCAGTCGACGCATGTCATCCTCTGCGTCGCGCAGCTGCCTTTGTCAGCTCTCAGAGACCGAAACAGGTCGCGAGTCCAATTTGGGGCAGGGTGCGACTGAAGCTCCTCCTTCTCTCTGTTGGCCTCGCGACTGCAGTGTTTGGGAATGTGGGAATTGCAACCAGCTGCTTGCCTCGCACAGCTGTTCGGAGGTCGTTTTCAGCTTGCCTCTGAGCTCCTCCATGGCGATTCACTGAGAAAACACTCAATCCCACTCCCCTCAAATCAAAGAAAGAGCAGATTTGTTCCTGTAACAGCTCGGCATTGCACAGTCCTGAAGCTGCTCCTCAAGCTCGGCGCTTTGCGCTTCGTCCACGGGAGTCGGAGCGCCCACTGCGCCAGCTGGCAGAAAAACGGCTGAGCTCTTGTCCTCGAGGATCAGAGACGTCCACACACGTCCAAGCACACAGCGGCTCCGGCACTCCGCACTCCGCTCGCTGCTCCTCCGGCACGGCGATGTTGTTGGAGCGCAGCAGCTGCTCCAGCCTCGGTTCGAGGCTCTCGGTCTGTGGCCGCGGCCCGACGGCCCCGGACCGACTCGCCCTCGGTCTGAGGCGTCGAAACACGACTGCGAAGCTCCGACAACGCCTGCAGCCACACAAAATGGCGACTTCAAGCTCGAGAGTCTGCGAAGGCGGAGTCCTGGTCTCTTCGCTGCAGCAGAAGTTTCAGCTCCTCTGACTGTGACACTCAGCAACGGCGTGCCATCGCGTGCCACACCCCAACGAGAGGGCAAGAAGCAGTGATACAAATCAGGCTCCGAAGCAGCCATAAGCGGCCTCTTTGGCTAACGACTAAAGATGCAGCATGTGCCATGTGCCTCCACAGACCGCTCATGGTTGACTTTCACGACGTTCTTGATCATTTTTGCCTGGACTTTGAGGTGCAGAACGTATCTGGATCTTTTTCAGATTCTATGTGCCGCACACGCTGACCAAAGCGCAATGTGCTGACGGTCTCCTGGCATGCCATGCTTCTGCATCCGAATGCGCCACTTAGCAGAACTCTTGATTCCCCTTGCATGTCCTGCTCGTTGAAATAAGAAGGAGAACAAGTAATAATCAAGGACGTTTTGGCATTGCCGCCCAGGGACTCTTGGAGGACCTTGCTGCAACCAGCGTGTGTCTGTTTTCTAGGGTGATAGCTGGTGCCATGCATGACTCTTGACTCTTTTCATGACCACACCACAGGTGCATTGAAATCAGATCCCAACTCTGGAGAGCTTCGAGTCACGATAAGGGACATGGTTGGACTTGCGGTCAGTGAGGGCATTGATCACCTTAAGAAGCCGGCGATAATCCAATCCGTTTGGAGCAATGCAGCGGTCAGTTCCGGGCATTGCCGAGAGCCGAAAGAGATCGATTGATATTCTTGGCCTGTCGAACAGACTCCTAGAGATCATACCCGATTGCAGACTACCAAGCGGCATTGCAAGACTATCGGACTATCCTGCGCGCCGAATCCAAATTTTCAACAGCTGACCATGCTTCACAATCAAACCTGCGGCTCCAGCACAGGTGATCAAAAACAGAGAACGATGCATCAACAAAACACATGCTCGGCAGAGTTCCATACTGAGGTTACTTTGAGCTGTCGACGAGGAAGCCTGTTCCATCAATCTATGCTCACCCCCGGCCAAAACCAACCTCGAAGCTGGTCTCAGCACAAACCCACGGCATGTCAACCAAACCCTTCATCATGACAGCCTTGCGAGTAGAGACTATATTGAACGCACAAGCTTCCTCCACATCCTTACTCGGGCATACTGCAGGTTTGGATCAAAAACCTCACGGGAAGAGTAACTACATTGTGAAACAGCGTGTTCGAGACAGTGGTTTGGCTTACCAAGTACAGAGTCTTAGGAGAATCTTAAGCACTCCAGACGCTGACGTGCGCAAGATTCTCCCGCGAAGATGCAGTTCGAGTTCTTGTCTCAAATCTTCGATTGATGTTTTGAGCACAGGAGTTCTTCGAACATTTCAAGCAGATTGTGCTTTGCAAACCAAGTCTTTGGCAGGGTCGTGGCATTTTCGGGGGAAGCTTGCGGCCTGGATTTGGGCAAGAAACTTGTTCGATCCTCTTGCCGGGAACGATGCTTGAGCTCTGGATTCTAGAGGTCAAGAACTTTGCTTGACAGTGTTTAGAGGGAACAGTCCTAGGTTTTGAGCTTTGGGCCAAGCACTGTCTTTGACTATTCTGTCGGAGAGGTGCTCTAGATGCTCCTTAAGGAGGCAGTGCGTGATATTCGTGTTTGGGAAGGAGCTTGCCTCCAACATCTGAGCGGAACGTGCTTGCAGTTCGGGGTTGACTTCGACGTGTAGTGTGTGTCCGATTTGCCAATCAAGCTGATCAACCAATATCATACATGCCCAGGGCTTCCGTGACTTATGTATCATTTCGTGCTCCACTGCATTGTCTAGGTCGGCTGTTCGTGGCTTTGAGTGTTTGCTTGTCTGCAACCTGTTTGTTTCCATCTTTCCACACTTCTTGACTGTCGTTCTCTCTTCTCTTTTTCTGCACACAGTGTGAACGTGGATTGTCCGTGATTTGGAGTGTACACCAGCCTAACGGACATGGACCTCAAAAGCACAGGTGCGGCATGTTCGAGGAATTCCTGCGTGCAGAATGGCTTGAGGACTCCAGCAGACGTGGGAGTTGAGATGAATGCATGACTCTCTGAAAAATCCTAGTTTCTTTCGTCTCGTTGCATGGTTCCTGAACACGCACTTCCGGCAGCGGTTCGAAACGACTGGAAGCCTTTCGGCCAAACCCGAATTAAGTCCATGTCGATGGCGCTCCCGTCGTAGGACTCTTCATGGGTACACTCTGCCAGCCCAAGTTTCGCACAAGTTGAAGCCTCCGCAGGCATTATATGAGGACAAGCATCCACTCAGTCTGGCGTCTTGATCTGTTCCCCTGCCTGATTCCCAAAGTGCCTGGACCTGAAACCTCACCTCAAGTCTCCACTCACGGTCCCTCCACTCTCTCGCCACATGTTGTAATTATGTAATATATTCGTTTCGCTTGCAACTTCAGTTCATTCCCTATATGCGTGCATCCAAGCCTCCCGTATCTACTTTTAGTGGCTTCGGATGCATGACACATGGTCACACCGCCCTGGTAGTATCTCCCTCTCTCGGAGCCACGTCATTGCAAGTCGTCACAGCAACACTTTGACACAGCCACGAAAGGCATCCTTATGTTCAAGCCGGAAGCTTGCTTCAGAGTGTACTAGGTGCCTCATCCAAGCGTTCGCCAGAGGCTCCGGTTTTGGCAACCTGCACGAGCACAACCAAGGGGCTTGGATTCCAGTTCCGACGGGCAACACTAAAGCTCCCGTTCCGCCTTCTCACTGCCGGCAAGATCCACCAAATGCAATTTGCCCACCTGACAACAATCAGCCCCAAAGGATGGAAAGACAACCGTTCCAACTGCATTCATTCTGCATTCCTGCGTATAGATTCTGGTTGCAGCCATGACCAGCTTTACCCTGTCGTCCGATCAGTGTTCTGCCGATGGTGCCTTTGCATGTGTCACATCTTTCCAGCTGGGGGTTTGTATTGAAGGATTCTGCAAAAACATATCCGTAATTCCGATGCTCCGCAGGACTGCTCCATCACGCCAAAGTTTACTACAACGCGATGGCAGTCAGGATATCCATTTGGATGCCTAGGCCATTTATACGTTATATAAATGCACAAACAAATCAACCAACCAACCAACCAACGGACAAACAAGACAGTGATTTTTGCTGTGCTATGGCGCGGCGAGCCCTGTTACGGTGCAAACATTACACGAATAACTTCAATCGCGGAGCAGATTCTCGTGGTACATTCGGCGGTGACTTTGTCTTGGCTGTGGCAGAAGCTCCGAAAAACACAGACCAGGTTGCGTTTCAATGCCTTATCTCTGCAAGGTGACGATGCGATGACATGGACTGCGCCGGCGACGGCACCTTGACGGAGCGATCGTGCAAGTTCTTCTGCTCAATGGTAAGCATAAAGATCAGGTGCGACCTTTCAACGCGGCAGCAGCTGGACTTTTGCAGAACTAGGTACTAAAAAGGCCTGGAGGAATGTTCATTTAGGTTCGTCTCGGCCACAGCACGATTATACTTGCCAGCTTTCCTGAGTCCACTGCACTGTATCGCATAGCATATCTCACCTCTCATTCAAAGTTCTTGGATGCATGCATGATGTCAAAAATCTCCTGTTCAGACCTTAACCATGGTGCCATCACTGGCATCTGCTTGAGCAAGTCGATGACTCTCTCTGTGAGCGCGGCCCAACGTACGTTTCGGTGACTTCACCGATGAAGACACCCCGAGCCTACGATTGTGTGCAGGCTTGCTGCACTACTCTCACCTCACAGTGAACAGGCCTTGTCCTCGTGGATTTTCAAGTTGTCCTTCTTCGGATCCAACAAATCCCGAATGCCTCAGCAGAAGGAAATGGCAAATATGAGTCTGCCCAAGTTCTGCGTGCCGGCGTTCGTTGTAAATCTCAACGATGGAGACTTTCACCAAGAACTCAATGTAGTCTGCAGCCTGCATTCTCGCTTTGTGAAGGCATCCCAAACAAGAGGATTGATGCATAAGGCCATGACATGGTCAATGCCGTCGAATATTGACCACACCATCCTGTTGCATCGCACTTCGGCAGAGACTCAACAATCCGATGCGATCTCTCCGGGTCTATGTCGTCTAAGTTTCTCGACTGCGACGGCTGATGACACAGAGCCCCTCCGGATGCTTGTCTGCAGCGCTGCTGCAGGCTCGAAGTGCGAGGGTGCTGCACGCCCAGACATCGAAACACTGGAGATCTGGGGAAACTGTTTGCAATCGGGGAGTTCCTCCTGCTTTGTGGACAGCACTCGCAGCACTCTATTCATAACTTGCAGCTGCAAACCACAAGCAACAGCGAGCGCTGCGAGATCCAGCATGTGGTCCTTTTCGATGCTGTGTAACTAAGATCCTCTGCTCCGATCGTACCACGTTTGCTTTGCTTGGCGACGCCCACGCTTGCTTTGCTTGTCCTACACTTTTGCACTGTGTCGCATCGTGGGGGCGATGGCCTGCAAAGCCTTCGGCGGCATGTAACTCATAAGGAGAGGACTGCGCTGGCACTGCACGGAGGCAAAGCTGCGGTGGCTTTACAGTAGCAGCTCTGGCTGCAGCTTCCTTCACGTACTGACTGCGATGCGCACAGCCATGGTGACACGAAACTACTCTTAAAGGCCTTGGAATAACGCCCATCTGGACCTCGTCTTCGATGTCTGGACCCTGGGAAGCATCCCGCATGTGCAGGCCGGCGCCACCACCCTCTATAACTCTGTAGAACTTGTATCCCATCGCCAGATGTCCTCCATTGTGTGGGTTTTGCCTGAAGCCGTCTGACCTAGATTTGCAGGCGGCTGGACGACACGTGGAACGACAGTTCTTCTGTCATCACGCACTCGGAACACTGAGAAACACTCCGTAAGCAAATACTGTACCGTTGAAGCCACGCAACCTCAAACGGCTGCATGAGAAAGCTCACTCGCAAGACCAGCTTTCGATCTGCAAAAACACTGAGGGAAATTGCACGCCATTGATGATAGGCTTGGCAGCATAATCATACACCTGCAGAGTTGCAAAAGGCCCTCCATGATGCACTATGCGTCACGACTTCCTTGTCCACACCCACGTGCAGCTACAACAAGCAAAATGTTGTGCCTCCTTCTGAGCGGCGTCAACCCCGAACACGCGGTCGAAAACAAAGCTGTTGTCAATCGAGGGCACATACCTGTCACTGGGAGCAGAGCAAAACAAGCTCTTGGCCATCGACCTGGCCAGCCAAAGATGTTGACTCGCGTTGACGGTAGCCCGCAAGGACATGCTGCGCTTTACGAGCTCCCTATCAGATTCTGACATAAAGCCTGCTGCTCCTTGCACTACATACACTCATGCTGTGTCATATGAATGAATAAACAGTTCGTTTTCCCTCAGAGACTTAAACCCTGCACAATCCTGCACCCAGTGCCCCTGAGCCCCTGAGCTGTTGCCACGTCTGTGCTCTAGCTCACATGCCTGGTCTTGGAATTTCAACGTTGTCAACAGGAAAGCTTTAGATTAGCGTTTCTGGCAATCAAGGTGAGGTCTAGATCTATTCCGGAATGCAGCGAGCAGAGTCATAATAGGCAGTCGGGTCACACAGAAGTCCCATCTCCGTTGATTGTCACACATATCCGTCCGCTTTGCTCCTTCTCCAACTGGTTTTGTGGCCGAAACCTGTCAGCGTGCATCCGACGTCTGCTGGCCGCACGCTGCAGCTGCACACCGAATTCGCAGGCGCCTGCAGCAAACCTTTATGCTCTCCTCATGCCTCAGCGCGACGAGACTTGACAGGTCAAGCTGGCTGCAGTGAAAACGAGACACTGACGGATCTTGCCCATCTGTGGCCATCTGCTAGGGTAGGTTGACACCTCAACAGGCACAAACAAACGACAGTTTATAGGAAGACACGACACACCAGCGGGAACCCCGTACTAAGAAAGACACAATGCCCTTTCATGGACCTTGCTAAGCGTCCGTGCTATGACACCTGCAAGCGCGCAAAGAAAACTCATGAGTTTGCTAGTTTGTTGCGCTTTGAAGCTGTAGACAGAAGCTTGACTTGTTTCCGGAAGCCAATGCAACTCTGCCTGGGCCGCTTGCAGCACGGACCAGGAAGGATGCAGATCTTAGTAGGAAACGCCTAGAGAATACAACATGGTAACATGCTGCTTCACTCAGTTCAACTTCCAGGTCGCCTGAAGGGAAATCATATGCTCTCAGAATGCAGTATGCAATCCTTACCAAGCTTACGCTTGCAGCTTGCTCCAATGCATCCTGGGAGTTGCTGGTTGTAGGACTACTGCCTACTTGCAAGGCCTGCTCGCGAGCCACGGGACGGCACCTGCACAGACCTCAAGATGATTTCGATTCTCCTGATGATGTCGTTGAACACTGGAATCTACTGGAGACGTTGCGTAAGTTTGCCAGAAAAGGCCTGATCCTTATCGAGAATCTCCCAGAAAGAACGGCCCGGCTTTTTTCCGCAGCCAAGGCCGCGCTGGCCTGGCAGCCTGCTGGACCCGTGAAAGGAACGGAAGCCGGGAAGCTGCTCGCATCTGCTCGCTTCTGCCCGCTGTAATGTGGCATGGCTCCGAGCCTCTTCGGCGATGGACGGCCTTGCAGGAGTGTCTGCTCGCTCCCGGAATTGCCATAGTCGCAACCGGCGCCTTTGCTGGGGAGACCAAGGGAACCCGTATGTCTCCGACCTCATTGCAGCTCACAGCGCGTATCATCCCACATGCTGCTTGTGCCGCTGCACGAAAACTCGGGTTCTAGCATCATGCCTGCCATAAATCAGAAAGCGGTTCATTCTCAATTCAAGCCGCCTTCCTCTCACTCATCTCATTCGATAAACTTCGAACTGCCTGCTTTTGTCTTGAGGTGCTTCATCCGTGCTATCCCTCCCACGGACGGCGACATTGCAAAGGCTAGACAAAGAGTGTTGGAAGACAGGTCGGAGCCTTGCGTCCTAGCATATTGAAAGTTCGCGCTCCATCCTTGTCTTCTGTCGCGGTCGTTCTCCCAGATGCCCCACTTGGGAACACAACATCATGCCTGATCTCGATGCTGGCGTGTGTATACGTCTGCATGTTGCGATGCCGGCATCGACGGCTGACACTCACTAACAACAGGATTTAGTTTCGATATTGGGCCGCAATGATCTGAAGTGAGCAGCATCTAAGCGTCTCAGTTCAGGAGAGACAAGGAGCGCGTTATCCATAGCTTACAAGAGGATTGATAAAACGATAGAACGATAAACCGCAAGTTTCCCAAACGGAGGGAGAGAGGCATGAGAGAGGAGCCGTCTAAGCAATTTGTAGGCCGAGACGGCCAGGAAATACGGTAGCTGGTGTTTTGTTTTATTGCTGCCAGAAGGGTCCAAACAAACTCCAAGGTATTTATATAATAACATCTGATAGCAGGCTGGCAATCAGAGAGTGCAAGGGCGCTTGTGGAGTGATTCGGGGAAAAATCTCTGATAGGAATTGACGCGTAAGTGTTCACCCTCATCAGCGTGAAGGAAAAGGGCACGCCTAGAGCATTGATACTGAACGCAATACAACAGGATGTGAAGTGGTGTGTTCTGACGCTAAAAACACTTCCACGAGGCGACGAATCACATCGATGGGTTAGGTGGTTGAGCGATTTTCTGCAAGGCCATATTGCCTGTCAGTATCAAGTCACCCTCTCCAGTCTTACCTTCCTGACACCATTTCCAGCAAAATTAGTTGAACGCTGCTTTCGAACCCTAAACAAGAAACCTCGAACAAGTCCAAATTAAGGTTTCAATGCCCCATGTGCCCGCAGTCGGCAAATGCCCTTCCAAAGGTGTCAGAGGCGATACATCGACGACACGGTGTCATGCTCCTCCAACAAGTAAAACAAATGCTGCCACTCCGGCAAGGACACCTTCACACCAACGATAGGACTTTCAACTGTTGCCCGCACCATTTCCAAGACAGGACGGACAAAGAGATAGTGAAGCTTTCGTCTCAATGATCACCGGATCGGTTTCACCATGAAGTCACTGTTTGTCGTTGGCCACGTAAATGGAAAAGAAGTGCGTCAATGGAGGGTCCTGCCGAGGTCCGGTTAAACCTAGAGAACCGTGTGTCTGGCAACTTCGCAACCTTTGCTGCACCACCTATCAGATCTATCAGCCTTTCGGGATCATGCTGTCTGGCCACTTGTGGCGGCACTGATCCAAACGCCGCAACATCATGCCCCCCTCCCTGGCTATGACGCCACGGAGATGTCGCCCGGTGTTTTGGTACCGTCGTCACCGGCCATCTCTTGAATTTGTTTTTGCGGCTGCAACACGACTGAAATCGACAGTGCGAACTGGCAGAGGAGAAGCAGCAACTAGAGTGGAAGGCAGTACTTGTTGTTGGACTGTTCCAAATGATCAGCCACAGCTTCTGCTCTTTGCGCAGAACATATAAGCCTGAGTGCACCAGAGCGTCCGGTCGCGGAGAGCTCATCATGTCTCTGCGATGCGTGGGCCATATCCGAGGTTTCGGTGAAGTGAACATTCGAACCGCAAGCTTGAAGGCAAAAAGCTGCGGTGGGACCATTGTTGTTATCCGGCTGTTGTGATGGTCTTTCTGTGTTTGGAGTCTGTCACTGGCATAAATACTTCGCAGCATTCCAGTGTCCGCTTCAACGATGCAAAACTTCTCACAAAGTCAGAGCTGATCCACTTGTTTAACATTCAGTGCAAGTACATGCCGTTCTGTAGCCGCTTAGACTGGCAGAGCAAGCTGTTGCCTGAGACAGGACTTGTCTGGACGTCACTATGGCTCGGGGATGTGGCAGCATCGAAGAAGTTAGCATTTTAGGAGAAGTCTTGAACATTTCCATCCCAGCCACAGCAAGGATAACCGATTGCTTTTTCATGCTGATGCAGGTCGGATTGAAGCTCCGAAATTGAGCAAGCTCTGTATGACGTACAGGGTGCCTTCCATGGACCATAGTGCTCTGGCATTTCGTGACCGCAAATTTGGAGCTGTGACCTTTTGCGTGTCCATTGGACCTGCCGGAAAAAATCCTGACGAACGGTCAGTTCGACTGCTTGCGACTGTAAACGGAAACCTGAAAGTGCTACTACCGATACCTGTGCTTACGACTGGCTTCAGGCGGTTCTGAGTGGAGAATGCTCGAAAGGGGGCCCGATAATTAAAAAGTCTAAACATCGAAAAATGGATCTGGCCCAGGCTTTCGAACCAAAGCCTGGAAATCCTGCAAGGACAACAAATCGAGAAGCCCGGAAAAGTCAGGAAAGGCAGCGAACTCGAAAAGTCCCGCAAATGCGAAAAGTCGAACGAACAAGGCTAAAAGTCGAAAAGCTTAGGCTTGAGGGATTTCGATGTACGGTTGTATGCAAGGAAGAGGTTTTGGAGCTCAAGGCAAACTCTAGTGGTCAACGGGCGCTCCTTCCCCTCTGTATTGGCGGAAAGACGATTCGCAAACCGGAAACAGCCAATTCGTGCACCAGCCGAAGGTTTCGCGCACCGTCAGCACGGATTTGTGCACGGGCCCTGCAGAGTTGAGACCTTAAACCCTGCAAACCCGACCCCAAACCCTACAATCCTTCCGCTCCAAGCCCTGGACCCGAAACCCCAAAAAGCTCGGCTCTCTGCGGCTATGGACACCCAAACCGCAAGCAAGCCTACATAAAATCGCACAAGCCTAAGGCCCTGATCCCCTAGACGTACCCTACAGGCTCGGCTCTCCTGGTCCCCACACTGAACCCCCAAACCCACAACCCTCAAACCCTAAACCCTAACCCAAAAAAACAATGCCCCCATTGGCACATTGAGAAATGTTGCGAATCACTCCTGCTTCAATCGCAGATGCTTGAATCGGGATTGCTATTTGACTCGCGAATGCTGAAAATAACCACTCAACCGAAACAAGGCCTAAGGCCCCAACAAAAAGGTCCCCAAAAACATACCCCTCATCAGTCGATAGCAGTTAAACTCAATCTCAAACCCACAATCTCTCATTATCATCAGGCGATTGTCGTTGATCCCGTCTCTTGCACCCGACCCCTCGTTGGGAGATGGCGAACGGTCTCATATCTTAAGCCCGATCTCTCATTAGGCGAGGGGCGGCCCCTGGAACATGCGATGGCAGTGGATCGTGTATCCTATACTAAACGCGACCCCTCATTAAGCGACGATGGTTGATCACATCTCTTAAATTCGCCCCCTCAACTGGCGATGGCCATTAATCGCACGCCTTCAACTCGACGCCTTTTTCATTAATGGGTCCACAGCGGTTGATCCCATTTCTTGAGCTCGCCCCCTTAGGCGACGGTGGCTGATCCCATTTCGCAACCTCGTCCACTCATTGGGCGACCGCGTGGAACTGCTGAACTCATATTGCGAAACCGGCCCCTCCCTAAGCGATGACGGTTGACCCGATCCCTCATTAGGCCATGGCGATTGACATCGGATCTGAAATCCGGCCCCTCATTAAGAGATTGTCTTTGACCCCATATCTTAAACTCGACTCCTCACTAAGCGATGGCGGCTGATCTTCATATCTAACTCCAGCTCCCTCATTCAGCGATGCCGCATGATCTCCTTTCTTACACACGACCCCTTCTTTGGCCATGACATGCCATGACGGTTGATCCCATATTTTGCATGCGCCCATTCGACAGGCGTTGGCGGTTGGTCGCGTGCCTTCCACTCTCGTCCATGGCGGTGGATCCCATTTGTTGCTCTCGCAGTCTCACTAGGCGATGGCGGCTGACCTCATTGCTTAAACGTGCCGCCGCAATGGGCGATGGTGGTAGGCAGCCAAGAAGCCGGAAAGCCAACATGCCGAGAAGCCAAAAAGCCAACACGCGGAGAAGCCAAGAAGTAGGAAAAAAACAGAACTCCCGCAGAAGTCGAATTCGTTGTCTTCGGCAACAGATCAGATGCATTCAAGCGTTTGGGAGCTCAGTTTTGGCCATCCAGCCTCGTGAAAACCCATGGCGTAGTCACAGAAACAAGAACTGCTTTGCATGCGAGAACCCCGGCATAAAGACTTGCAACGGTGCCGGTTAGCCGACTCTGTAACATGGCCTCTGATTGATTCATGCGGGAGGTGCACCCATCATCAGCAGGCACAATCTGGGGTGAACGAAGACACTCCGCTTTCAGGCCTTCGAAACCCGGTGTGTGGCCGTGCACTTGACATGGCAAACACGCGTGTGCTTTACTCTTACCTTCTTCCTTCGTTCCTGCCTTGTTACTTCCCACACTGCCCCTGGAACTCTTTCTTATGCAGGCTGCCTTGTGTGCACTTCTACGAGATTTCCATTTCGCCATCGACAATGTGCGCTTGTGCCGCCGAGTCGGACGAGCATCCAACGCTTCTGCGTCGAGTCTACGCCCCCGTCCTGCAATGCAACGGCCTGCAGCAAACTGTGTTAAATCCGGCATCCTCCAGCTCGCCTTGGCGCCACCAGGGCCCCTCTGCTTCCGCATACTTTGAGGACGATGAAAGGCCGCATTACGTCCTGCAGTAGTGACTTGAAAGATGCACACCGGCGAATTCAAGTTCAGGACACGGCTACACTGCTCCTGAGCCGCAACTGCAGTAGCAGCCTTCAGCAGGCCCTGCTGAAAGCCAAGCCCCGACAGCATGCTTTGCAGCGGGCCCTCAGGGACCGACAGGTCTGCCAATGCAACAGATGCTCCACTCACTCCCGGTCCTTCCACGTACCTAAAGTCGACTGGCCGAATTCGGCGCACATCCACTTGAGACAACGTGGCAAAGACCTGAATGTGAGGCTGCAACCACTCTGTCAAGACACGCAAGCAGCAGAAAGACCGGGCAAAAGGCAAGTAAGCCAAGACCGCAGTCATGGCCTTCGGTCTCTGAAGAACCCTTTGCATGGCAACTGTCGCAGAGGACCACTGCAATGCGTGGCCTTGGAGGCTAGCTCCTGCAAAGCAAGCCCCAAGCCAAGCCGTCGACCTGACGACACTGACGACACTGCCAGCTTCCAAGCAACCACCGAAGACTCTAAGGACCAGCACTTGGAGGTTCTGGCTTATGTCAGCTGTTTGAACGATTTGTTCTTGAAGTCCAAGTGCTCCACGCTCCGATCCCCCGATGCATCCACCATGCAGGCTCTCCTGTCAGCTTTTTCGCAGGCACCAACGACCCCTGTGCGCTTGAAGCGAGAAGCCTGCTTGCGAACTGTGAGACCCAGAATGCCAAACCACAGTTCCTGACGAGGCCCGTGGCTTGGAATCGCGGCTTCGTGGTCCGAAGCCTTCGGCCTACGGGCCGGCGCCTCCAGTTGGGCCTCCGTCATGATGTTTGAGTTCCTCACCCGGGAGAACGGATACTGCCCAAGCTGAATCGAGTCGTGCGGTGGCCTCGAAGTGAGCTCGTACGCGTTCTGAAAAATCCTCATGCACTTCTGGGCCTTACACGCAAACATTCATTCTACGTCGAAGCTGAAGATGGTGTCCCGCGTGGCCTCCGGAAATCCCTCGTACCAGGCCTGCTCAGACCGAGATGCAAGCGAAAGCCTTGCATTAGTGGAAAGAGCCTGCCTCTCTGTGTCCAGAACCCTGGAACTGGGCAAACAACGATCAGAACCGCACACCCTCTGGTTTCCTGCGCTGACTCGCGCCTCGGCACCGTTCAAGAGGCGTTTCACAGCCTTGCTCGAATCGCAGAAGAGCTCGCGCTCTGGCGTCTCACGTGAGCGCATCCAGGACCGCACCTTTGAAACAGCACTGCGGTCGGCCCCCTGCTGGCCAGCGAAAGACCTGCAGCTAGCTCAACACAGCCGTGCTACCTGTAGCCGGCTACCCAATGAAGACATTTGCCGGTGCCAGGGCAAGAAGCATCCACATGCTTTGAGCCAAGAATCTGCTCTCAACCGACTGAGCACGAGAGTTGCTACGCCAATGGGCTGCACCCTTTCCACAAGCACTTGCAGTTTTGTGAGGTGCCCGACACACAGAGCTTCTCCATGGCGTCGCGACAATCATTCAACACCAGCCTTCAGTGTAATGGTTACTTCGGGTCACTTCCGTGTGAGGGCACAGAGCGAATGAACATGACGTGTCAGTGGCCACAGGTGTCATGTATTGCGCATGCACCTTTTCTATGCACGGATCAAAAGTTGTGTGGTCTGATACAACCTGTGCATGTTCAAAGGTCGGACGAGCTGAGCTCGACATGATTTGGCACCTACTTGGATGCCAGCTTCGAACTAACCTCTGCCCAGACTTCAGTGATGCCCTTGCCTCCGTCCACTTGTTTGACGATGCCCTTGTCCTTGTAGTGCTCCAAAATTGGGAGGGTCTGGTTCTTGTAGGCATCCAGGCGGGTTTTCAATGCTTCAGCCGTGTCGTCCGACCGCTGGTACAGGGCTTCGCCGGTGATGTCGTCCTTCATCGTTTCCGGAACAGGCTTGCCATCAGCACCCAGCTTCATGGACTTGGGCGGGCACGAGCGCACGTGGTAGGAGCGGCCACTTGCCTTGTGCATCCATCGTCCGCAGATGCGTTCTTCCAACATCTTCGGATCTACTGCGAACTCCAGGATGAGCGAGACGTTTTCCCCACTCTTGGCCAGCATCGTGTCCAAGGCCTTGGCCTGAGCAAGCGTCCTGGGAAAGCCATCCAAAATGAAGCCTGCCTTGCAGTCTGGTTCCTTAATTCTGTCTGCGATGATGCCAATCACGATGTCATCAGAGACTAAGCCTCCTGAGCTCATGATCGCCTTTGCCTTCTTGCCGACCTCCGTTCCATTTGCCACAGCCTCACGGAGCATATCACCGGTACTGAGCTGCGGAACGTCCAGGGTCTCAACGATCTTCGGTCCCTGTGTCCCTTTGCCAGCACCGGGAGCACCGAACAGCATCATGATCTTCCTTGGCCAATACTTTTCATACCGCTCAGTCCTGGCTTCGGCTTGGCTCTTCCCGAACAAGTATCCGCCAGCACCGCCCAGAGCCAATCCTCCGAGCACTGCAGCGCCAAGGGCGGCTGCGTCTGTTTCGCACTGCAGAGGAGCTGTCAAGGGCCCTGATTTTTGCTTTCTTTCCTGCGGTGCCCAGAGCGCAAGCCCTGCGGCACCAGTGGCACCGGCAGCGCCTGCCGCTGCAACTGCACGAAGAGTTCGACCGCTCTTGAACACACTGCGGAACATGATGGCGCCGGCGATGCAGAGCGAAGCTTCCTCTTGGCTTCCCTAACTTTGCTGTAGAGCCACGCCGATGTAAGAAGAATCGTATCGTGAGCCACACAGCAGAGACACTGAAGCCGGTCCGAGCTCTGCTTAGGCGTGGGCTGCAAAACGCTGGCAAAGTCACCGGTGCGCTCCAGCAGATGCACCGAAGCATCAGTGACACCGTACCTGGCTGGCAGCGACAGCATCTTACAGGTCCTTCCCGACGGCCCAACGTACCTGCTGCAAAGCTCGAGGCACTCACGCAGCGGCAAAGCCTGCTATCGTACACTGCAAAAGGCCGCTGGCAGTTAAAAATACGCGGTGCTGTTTGTTTCCGCATAGCTGGCACATTCTGCCAGCAATCCTTGGGAAACTGGCCCCTCGCGCCAACACACTGCACCAGTCCAAAGACCAAGATAGAGAAAGGCTCGTGTCAACACACAGCACAACTCACTGGAGCAGCCCCGAAACTGTCTGACAAAGCTTGGAGAGGCAGTGTGAAGCTTTCGACGCAACATCTTGCACATCTCACACCTCAAGGCCTCAAGCTGCCCTAGGAGTTGCCTCGTTCTCTAGGATGAACGGCAGAACGGCTTCGGGGCAGTTTTGGCACAACCTTGCCCGTCATCTTATCACACTTGAGAAAGCGCACGAACACTCCAGACTCCGGACACCGGCCCAAGCATCTGGCAAGTCAATGTAATGAACTACGTGCTCGTTGAAGAACGCCTCAATGGCTCGCGGTGGCCCCACTGCGAAACACAAACTACCAGACCACCAACATGATCGATGTCCATGAATTGGGATTCGGAGCCTGCCGGTCTGCAAGACCAAAACGGCGGCTGAACAAGGCCTGCATCAAGATGCAGGATGTAGGCAGAAGCATCATCTGGTGGGGAAATTGTCAAGAGGCCTCAAAATAGTTCATCTCCATCTGAGGAAACTGCTTCAAGCACTCCAACCTCAAGCCCCCCCCATGCACTTTTTCGGCACGGAAGGGAGCCCAAGGCGCCGGACACAAGCGCGTGGTCCGCTGTGGCAAACTGCTCACAAAGCATCAAAGAGCACCGCTCTTTGTCTACATCCACCAACTCCTGTGACAAGCATTTTCCATTTTGGCAGAATCCTATGGCGAACTCCGGCTGCCTGGAGTCTCTGAAGGGTCGCTTCCACAAGAGGAGCACCTACTTCCTCGCAAACGCGCACAAAGTCGAGACCACCACCTGGGTCGGAGGTCCCTGGTCCCTGGCATCCAGTTTTGTGATGATGTATTCGAAGATTTGCTCTCGCAGCTCCGGCTCCTGTTCAGTAAACGCAGCCGGCGTATCCGCTTGCACAGTCACGGAGTTGTCACTCGCGCGGCATCACGTCCTGCAGCCTGCAGTCCAAGGCCTTCCCGAACTCACCGCGCCTGTGATGCAAGCCACCGCAGCTGTCCTGTTAAAACATGTGGGTTTCGATCCGCAATCCTGCCTTTCATGCAACCATGCTGCGAGCCCCAGGAAGTCGGTCATTGCCTGTCAGAGACCACACCAGAAGCAAGACTTTGCGCCGTCACAGCCTTCGCAATGATAACATCGAGTTGGCTGCTGTCGAAGTCCTCTCATGACCCCACGACGCTGTCGCTGACATTTTGCATGTTTGCACGGTCTGTTCATCACGTCCTGCGTGGCCAACACGCCGATCAGAAGTTGCTCTGCTTCAGACCGCTGCCTTCTCCCTGCATGGCCGGGGAAGGATTATCCATTTTCAGAACTTGGGTCCCTTCCACTGAAGCACAAACCTTTGACTGGCCAGGACAGCAGATGATCGACCACCTCGTGCAAGCTTCGGGAATTTGGCCACGAATGATAGTAACTTCCCTTTGCAGGCCTGCGCGACCTCCTCTACACTTAGCTGAGGTTTTGCACGAGGCACGGATCTTGCCACAAACCTCGGAGCGCTGCGCGAGATACGTTAGTGTGGCAATGACCTGCTCGCTGCGCATGGCAACCCACCGGGGTGCTCGTGCAAAGCAATTCTCCATAATTCCTAAAGAGCTTGGCAAAGTTCGATAGGTTGACGACTGCGCGTGCATTGTCATCTTCTTGAAATGCGACGGCATCGACTGCTGTCAACAACCCAAGCTACATGAGTCAAAAAAAGAATCAGCTGGTTAAAAGCGGAGATGTTTTGTGAAAGCAGACAACCCTCTTATCCGGAGCAGTCTGCAGGCGATGCCCTGAGGTTTGGGTGTTCCGAACCTCTGGCACTTCTCCGAAGGTCCAGAAACTCTTCGTCAAAACCAACAGTACTTGGATCCGCCTGACGAGGTTCAAGACAGTCTGCATCCCTGGCTCGCTGCACTGGGGTAATTCCATGCTAGAGCACAGAATCAAGTAGTAGATGCATTCCCATGGCCTAGTGAGTCTAGTTGAAAGCCGATTGATCTTGGCTGCACAACGCTAGCATCGTGGAATAGGGGAGCAAAACCCGCGACCCAAGCTCGACACCACAAAGTCTCGGCACTAAGCGTTCCGTGAGGGAGTTCGAGGTTCTAGTCTCGGGTCGCGTGCCAGAGAGTTCGGATCACCGGGAGCAGACCCGGTCAGATTCGTGGATTGCCAAATTCCGGGAGGCAGGCTCGGCAGTTTCGGTCCCGAGCGCGCTCGCGCTCTTTTGCTCTCGGAAACAAGAACGGGTGATTCTAAAATGCACAGAGGATTCGGAAACCAACAAAAGGATCACTCACAAACCTTCACAAAGGTCGTTCGGAAAAAACAACCACGACGAAAGCAACTATGGCAAAGACGGCGAACACACCGAGGACAGAAAACAAGAAAAATGTGGCGGCGCGGATAAAACATTTCGTGAACCGTCGCACAATCGAGGGGCCGGGTAACAAAAGATGATCAGCCGGCACCGACTTAGGAGGGGGCGACGTGAGACATGGTGCGATTGGCCGCCTAGCAAGGTGGCCGGCTTGCAGAAAGCTTCAACTGACATCGACTGATGAAGGGCCAGCTTAAGAAATAGTTTAAGCTGCGCCATCTCCAAACGAGGCCGGTTTAGTAAACGCGGTGACGAATTTTCAATTCTCATCGTCTGATGAGGATGGGTTAAGACATATTGTGCTCGACCGCCATGGCCTGGTCCCGGGGCGGCTTAAGAAATGGTGCGATCGACCACCATCATCTAATGAGTGCGCACGTTTCACAAAGACTGTGATCAACTGCTATGCGGCTTCAAAAATTGAGTGATAAATCGCCATCGGCTGTGAGGGGGCTGGTTATCAACCGCTTTCGACGACACAGGGGTCAGGCTTAAGAGATGTGATCACCAGCCATCGCATAATGACGGGCGGGTGTAAGATATGCGATCAACTGCCATCGCCTAAAAAGGGGCCGGTTGAAGAAGTGTGCTCAACCACTTTTGCCAAAGGAGCGTAGCTGCTTTAAGAACTGTGACCATCGGCCAGCCAGGGGCCCGTTGAAGATCGCGCAAGAGACCGCTTACCATAGTGCAGACCCTGGTTAATAACCCCCCTCCCTCTTGTAAGAGGGCCTTGATGCTAGAATCCATGTTATAATCCCTTTAAACGGCAGGGGTTTGTTTATCAGGGGTCCACATGAATGAACTGTGTAAAGAAATGTGACCGACTGCCATCGCCCGATGAGGGAGGAGCTTCACCGCCATCGCCTCATGATGGAGCGGCTTCTGAAATGGTGCCATCTACCGCCGTGGCTTAATGACGGGGTGGGTGGGCTTGAGAATCATCAAGCGCCATCGGCGATGAGAGCGTGAGCAGTGTGTCTTGCACGAGAAAACAGATCCACTGGTCCGATCTGAAACTGACTCGGCATATTCGGACACCGAGACTCGGAAACTCGCAAGTTCCGGCAGCCGGCCCTCAGCTATCAGCTTTTGCTCCCTTTTCCCCAGGTGCCAACAAGTCCCTGTGCCCTGCTGGCTGAAGTAAGGAGCCGTTTACCGTTTGGAGAGCGACAGCACGAAGCATAAAGAAGCTGCGGACCGACCACCACAACATAGCCTTGAGGGCCAGGCCACAGATACTCCTTTTGGGTGTGAGCAGACAGGGGGCTGTTCTCCTGAGGTCAGTGGTGTGAATTTAGAATGCGGATTGAGCCTTTTCGCGGCATGCCGTGCTCATCTGCCTTGACAGCGTCCAGCGACGACCTGCCGCGGAAGATTCCAAGCAGCAAGCCGGACTCAAACGCTGCTCTCAGGCCAGGACCGAATCAAGTGGAACAAGCTTGCCAGGCCGCCGTCCTGGTCTGGACTTCGGACACTGCGAGCCACAACGGCAAAACGGAATTCTGCTCAGCCTCCTGTCCGGACCAGTCCCCCTGGTGAACTGCGCGGCCTCGGCACGACCACAAGTTCGGCACCAGCGCTTTGGAACGCTTGCCCAGCTGCAATCTGGAACAAGCTACTGGTCAATTGAGTGACGAACTTCCAGACGGTGAGGTGAAAAGCAACGACAACGTGCGAAACAGGCCCAGGGAAGACAGCCGGAGCCTCCGCACGAGACAATTGACGCTGGGATTGGGCATGTAAAGGTGTTGGTATTGAATTTACTGTCAGGAGGATTCCGGGAAACATTGGCCAAACTCGCAACCACCACCATCTGACATGTTGAACAGAACGTGTGTCTTTAGACTAACCTGCCGAAACTTCGGAAACCAGATTTTACAACTTAAGACGTTCTCATCCTCTCACCCAAACGTGTGCGTGGTGCGGGTGGTGTGGGTGGTGTGGGTGGTGTGGGTGGTGTGGGTGGTGTGGGTGGTGTGGGTGGTGTGGGTGGTGTGGGTGGTGTGGGTGGTGTGGGTGGTGTGGGTGGTGTGGGTGGTGTGGGTGGTGTGGGTGGTGTGGGTGGTGTGGGTGGTGTGGGTGGTGTGGGTGGTGTGGGTGGTGTGGGTGGTGTGGGTGGTGTGGGTGGTGTGGGTGGTGTGGGTGGTGTGGGTGGTGTGGGTGGTGTGGGTGGTGTGGGTGGTGTGGGTGGTGTGGGTGGTGTGGGTGGTGTGGGTGGTGTGGGTGGTGTGGGTGGTGTGGGTGGTGTGGGTGGTGTGGGTGGTGCGGCGTATAGGTGGTGTATGGTGGTGTATGGTGGTCTATGGTGGGTGTTGTGGGTGCTGTGGCTGGTGGCTGGTGGCTGGTGGCTGGTGGCTGGTGGCTGGTGGCTGGTGGCTGGTGGCCGGTGGCCGGTGGCTGGTGGCTGGTGGCTGGTGGCTGGCGGCTGGCGGCTGGCGGATGGCGGCTGGTGGCTGGTGGCTGGTGGCTGGTGGCTGGTGGCTGGTGGCGGGTGTGGCGCTGGCGGGTGGCGGGTGGCGGGTAGCGGGTGGCTGGGCTGGTGGCTGGTGGCTGGTGGCTGGTGGCTGGTGGTGGCCGGTGGCCCGTGTGCGGGTGTGGGTGGCGGGTGGCGGGGTCGGTGGCGTGTGGCGTGGTGGCGGGTGGCGTGGGTGGCGTGGTCGGCGGGTGGGTGGCGGGTGGTGGGGTGGCGGTTGGTGGCGGGTGGCGGGTGGCGGGTGGCGGGTGGCAGGTGGCGGGTGGGGTGGCGGGTGCAGGGTGGCGGGTGGCGGGTGGCGGGTGGCGGGTGGGCGGTGGCGGGTCGCGGGTGGCGGGTGGCGGGTGGCGGGTGGTGGGTGGTGGGTGGCGGGGTGGTGGGTGAATGCTGCTGCAGAGTTGGAGGGGTTGTGGGGTTTGGGGACGGCTTTCCGGTGACAAACGATTGCTGTTTGGCTGGGCCCACGGATTCTGCGGTTGGGGGCTGCTTCGAGAGCCTTTGCTGAATCAGTTCGTCGGCTGTTCTGGGGCTTGGACGATGCTTGGAGAACCAATCCTGTGCTGAGTCAGTTCGTCGGCTGTTGGTTTCAACTACCCCTACGACTACCACTGCTGCTAGCACTGTCACTGGCAGCACCACGACCATTACACACCCCACCCGCCACCATACTCCTCCTCCCTGCAAACCTTGTCCGTCGGTGACTCCACCACCACCACCACCACCACCACCACCACCTCTCGGCCGCTGCCAAGACAACTACCACCAACCCACCTCGAACCCCGACGCTGACCCCCAGGGTTTAGTCAAGTTTAAGGCAACAGCTCACCCCGAGAACTGTGCAGCCACAACTGCTGAGTCGGTCGAGGCAGGTGCTAGAGTCTTTGTCTTTGCAGTTGCGACAATACTTGCTCTTCTTCTCAAGTGCCCAGTCTTCAACTGGTCACGCATACGACCACACAACTACGAGTCCCACGAAGCAAGAATGAATATCTGCTCAGCATCCGGGATCCCAGCAGGCGTTGAAACATCGGGGGAACCTGGCCACAAAACCGCTACTTGCCTCTGCTTCGAAACGTACGCCCGTGTCCTGCTGACTTGGATCAGGTGGAACTTTGAAGATACACGCCAGCCTTAGAGGCTCACCCACACAGCCTGTCATCTCACTCGCCATAGTTTTCTGGCTCAGAAGCTAGCAAATCTGTGATCGCGCTTTGAGGGACAGCCACATCCTGCACAGAAATATGTAGAGGCAGGAAGATCTACAACCGTGCAACAACGATCGTCCAACCCAGGGACATGCCTTCGAGTCAAGCGGAAATGGCCGTAACTCGAAGCATTGGTGAAGGAAGAAGAACAACCTTCCAAGCTTGTTGGGAATTCGAGCTGCTTCTCTGCATTCTAGCAATACATTGCATTACAATGAAACGTCCCTCATCTGAGCAGCTTGCTTCCGAACCAAACGGCACTGCAGTAAGGGTGCCTAGAACGATCGCGTCATGATCTGAAATCCAAATGATATGGGGCCAAGGGCAGAGCTTCCTCCGAGAATGCACAGGTTGGCGTACACGCCTTCGCCAGCTGCACACATTCTCCGACCTGTTGGCCACACCCAAACACACTTGAGCGCTCATTTGAAGAAGCACCGGCCAAGACCGAGCAAAACAGTTCTAGCCTTTCACACCCCTTAAACAAAAGAACTGTTCCAAGCTCTCATTTGGACTCGGACTGCCCGGCTAAAAACTCATCACCGAATTGAGCTCTGCTGAGCCTCGGGTCCGAATTAGTTCCAAGCACAGACAGACAAGACCATTCATATAGGTGCACAAAGCGAAGCGAACCAGTCGACTACGATCCTGCGAAGCACTCATAATGCACACGCTCCAAAAAGTGCCCAAACTCTTGCACTGTCTTCTGCATTGTGAAGGCAATGCTTTTGGCAACCACATCCAACGAAACTCGACACACACGTGGGTTTTGCGACAAAGAGGGGTGCCTTGGGCGTGCCTTTTATGGGAGTTGCCTCTGCTGCGCGTGTTGATCTTGTTCACTCTCAGTCTTTGTTTCCCCAGGCTTGAGGGCAAGCCCCCGCGGGAGCTGCCCGTTCGGAGTGTCTGTCTCTCTATGTCTGCATCTCTTTATCTCTCTACCTCTCTATCTCTCTATCTCTCTCTCTCGCTCTTCCGGGCTTGGAGGTTGGGCCAGCATCCAGGGCCCTTCCTCCGTGCGCGCACTCTATCTTCTTCCCCGGGGCATGAGGGGAGCGCGAAACCCCTCGGCCTTAAAGGCCCCCCGATGTCTCTCTATCTCTCTCTCTCTCCCTTTTTTTCTTTTTCACCAGGCTTGAAGGCGCGCTCTCATTCTCTCTCTCTGTCTCTCTTTCTTCCTGTTATCTCGGTAGTGCAAAGCGAACCCATGCTCAGGACCGCCTGTCAATAGCCCGCCAGAGCTCGGAGAACGCCTATGTACAGTTCATTATCAAGTAATTTGGAGCAGCTGCTACCACCCTGGAAATAAAGGAAAAAAACGAGTCGACAAAATCAAACGCGGACTGGCATGTGCTCTTGTTGCGGGGGGCCAAAGCTGGACTAGGGCCATTACACACTCTATTGTGCCTATGGGGCTTTGGAACGAATTCCCACCCGACCCACTGCAGGAGTCGTGACCGTTCAGCAGAATGTCAGTACAGGAGAATGTAAAACACAACAGAGCAAAGCCATGTTGAGAGTGGTCGGATTCTGCCGGCTCGCCGCTGGCGGCTCCTGCTGCAACCTTGTGGGCAGTAACAGCTTGGAGCACTTTGCAACCAGCCATGTCGATGACGGCCAGTGGAGACCAGTTAAACTGTGAACTCCTGCAGAGACTAGCAAACGCAACCAAAGGAGATATGGCCTTCCAAAACTGTCGAGGGGCCATGCCCTAAGTTCCAACTGGGAGAAAACCATTTCTGGCAGTCAGTGGCAGAAAGGCAACCGGCATGCAGTACATCTGTTTTTGTCATGGCCAACTTCTGGCAATCACGTTAGAGATGCTGGTCAAAGAAGCCAAGGACATCTTGTCTGGAGAAGCGCAAGTTGTGTGTAAATAGTCGATATCCAGCTTTGGCCATTCTTCTGGTCGTTGGAACTAGCGACGACAGGAGCACCGCTAAACATCGGTGAGTCAGAAATTCTGCATAGCAGGGGAGCGGATGGCGCAGTGACCTCGAATAACCAGCCTGCAGGGAATGAGGTTGTCCGTGACAAGGCGGATGTCGGTAATCTGGTGACATGGCAACCAAGTGGTTGATGATGGCAATCCGGCTGCATTCAGCAGCAGTACGGCTTAAAACCATGGTGGCGATGACGAACGATGGGCTGAATGGGTTACCTGCGTGGAGGCCCACATTGCCTTGTGCCAACAGCTGATCTTGTTCGCTGCGGAACACAATCTTGTACACATGACCAAAGAGCACGTTTTCAAACGCTCAGCTCACGTCGGACACACCTGCTCAAACATGTTGACAGCATTTCGTTTCCGGTCTCTGTAGGGAGACAGCACTACCTGAAGAGATCGCAAAGCTTGTCTCGCACCGGGCAAAGACTTTTCACAACCCGCAGATTGGCCCGCGACACCAAGTTGGGAATCTTTCTTAGGCAAGTGTATGGTCCAGGTCGAGAAGCGCGAAGGAGCCGTAAAGCCATCTGTGCCGTTGGTCACTGGCCACGCATTCCATACTAAGACGCTTCATGGAGAAATGTGCGAATGAGAGTAGTCCTCCGCAGATACCAGAAGAGATCCGAATGCCGAGCTCCAAGGAATGGGAGATTCTTGGGCTGGCAGGGTCGTTCTAGATTGGTTTTCTTGGGTGAACATGGGCTAAGTACTGCCTGTCCAAGAATCCTGGGGTTCGTGCGACCGTCTGTCTGCGGTCAGCCCGGGTACTAGATCCGAAACAATTAAACACGACCTGCGAGCCATGCACATACTGAGGCATGGGCAAGAAGTTCCAGTGGAGTCACATAATCTCCAAGAGCACAGTACACATGAACCTGAACATGGGATGAGGAAGCTTGAGATGATACCTGAAAATTTCCAAATGGAACATGTAATCCCCGTCTACAACCCGGAATTGCACAAATCGCAAATATGAGGCAGCAGCCAACGCGGTCCACAACCTGGCTCGAAAGAAAGGCCCACGGCAAAGCTCATGAGGAAGCAAAAGCATACCGCACAAACAGACACTGGAGAAACGACGAGGACGACAAGGACCACGAGGACGAGTGGAGGAAAGAGAAGGAGGAACTCACAATCCGGCAGAGTAACTGAGCAAGCAGAGTCAAGAAGCAGCAATGCGCGGCATGGCAGCAAGGACGTCGAAGGGAAATGTGGCAATGTCAGGACAGCTGTACTGAGTTTGCCCGGCGAAACGGGTCCCAAGGCCCTACAATACAAGATGCAAAGGTCAATGGCAGGCCTGGCCTGTGGTGTGTAAACAGCCGGATGGCCAGGTTCAAGTCCTCGTGATGCCAGGAAGAACAAGAGCTTGCTGAGACAAGAAAGGGTTTTCTGAGAAGCACGACACTTTGATTATCCTTTCTCTGGCCGCGTAGGGGTTTCCTTGCGAGTTTCCAAGCTTGTTTGAGCGTGCATTTGCATGATTTTTATGCGCACAAAGACCAGGTTGAGACAAGAAGAGGTTTTCTGTTTTCTGATATCTGGATCGAGAAGCACGACACTTTGATATCGTTTCTCTGGCCACATAAGCGGCACACGACATGGCCAAACCTCCTTTCCCACATGTTGCTGATGCTCAAGGATGCTGGATTCAGGATAATGCTTCCGTTTATCTTGGTCTCGTAGTTCTTGCAGGGCTGCATCAGTAATTCAAGTTTCGACAAGCTTGCCCTCGTTCATCGGACCGCCTTCCAAACAGGTTTTCCCAATGCAGCCTGTGCCCAAAGACAAGGCTCTTGCAGAGGAACTGCACAGGAAGCCATCATCCGAAACTTCTAGGCTGCACGCAAGCTTTGCAACATCCACACATAGTACAAGTTGTTGAAGCCTGGCCATCGGGCAGCACATCAAGCGAGCTGGTCGAATTCCGACTTTTGTGCTGTTCTTGCAGTGGCTGCCACCTGCGTGCTACCGGAAAAAGCTCAGGGAAGTGGTCGCAGTCAACGAAAGCGCACGGTTCACCTGCATGCATGTGAAGCCTCTGTGCTTGACTCTTTTCTAGGTTCGTTGCCGGCCGGACCTGCGCTGTCTTTGGCCTGCCTCGCCGCCTGTGACGCTGTGCGATGCCAGACTGCCAGAGCAGAGACCGGGACACCGGGAGACGCCGGGACGCCTCTTGCTCTTCCTCTTGGAGTGGCAACGTGTAGGACTGCAGGATGCTAGACAGGACCTGCTCACAGGCCACACATCGCCGTATGGCGGCTGGAGAACCACCGACGATGCCAACGCCTCCGAGTCCATCTCAGCACGCGGGATCCTTCACAGCGACGACAAAGCCGCACCACCCGTCGCCACACGTGCAGTGCGCTCCACTGCCTGGCATCCAGAATGAAGGGCTCCAGGGACGCACAGTAGACGTGCATGTGGCCAGTGGCCTCAGCTCAGACAAATCTGGAGCCGATTTCACAGGAGACAACCCCAGCCTTGAAGCACTCGAAAACGGTCTTGTGCAGCACTGGCCTCGAGTTCCCGTAAGCTTGGGCTGTGAAGTCGTTCTGAAGTGCAGATGCGAGCGCACCAAAGCTGTGCTTGAACACAAACGCTGACCGCCGTCAAGCAGATTTGTCGCACCTGGAGACTATCACAATCACCGCTGCTGCGAGACGTTGCGAGTGCTTCGGAAATGAGCCGAGCCTTGGAACGGTCAGCGTCTGGGCGCAGTGTGTTCACCAGGAAAGACTGGATGACCTGGGCAGAGAATCAGACTAACCACTTTTCCCAGGTCAGTGAGAGCTGTTTCTTTCCTTTGCCTGCGTTGTTCGCAGCTCGACCGCTCGCTGGCCTGTCGAAGTCGCAAAAAAACATGACTCGCCTTTGCTGCTCCGAAAGTACGCGTAAGCCCTTCGCGCAAGGCTGCTTGATGTGGAAAGTCCAGAAGTGGCGGCAGGAAACCGCGATGCCTCGGCAGCCGGCGATCTCTCTGAGCAGAATTTTCAGGCGCAGCAACTGGGGCAGAAGCAATCCCAAAAAAACATTAAGTGCTGCTGACCAATCATTCCTGCGAGCAGGAATGCAGAAAAGAAGACTCACAGATAAAGAGGTGCCAAGACCACGACCTTGACACGAGAGATTCGATGTGTTGGCCCCAACGAGCAATCTGCAGACACCACACCTGTAGACAAAACCAATCTCAAGAAGTCCAGTCTCAAACGGTCCGGCTCTGCCGGCCTCCTTCATGCCACAGACAAAAAGTGTTCGAGCGCGTCCGCGAAAACTGCCAGAATCACAACAGACTGCACGCCGAGTGCTGAACATGCTCTTGAGTTGGTACACAACGCCAAGTGAATGACACTGCCAGAGCATTGTGATGAGAGCCTTGGCTGTCCAAGCAAATGCTACAGCGGCAAAGGTTTGTCCACAGCAGCAACGGTTTCTGAGCGTCTTAACGAATGTCCTTCCCTTCTTGGCTGGTGTGAAATACCAACGACCAGTTTGTCACATCCTGCCAAGCAGTTTATGCTGTCCGATTGGCCGCCGTGATGCAATCCCAAATAATGAATGGCTTATAGCCTGCTCATAGTGCAATACCTACCACCAGGACCTGATCCGCTTGACAATCTCGTTCTACCTCCCGCCCCGACGCACGCGCACAGCTTCCTTCTGCACTGTAGTGGCAGGCTGAAGCTCCCCGGCTCACTCTCAAGTGTCCTCGGTATGCACGGCAGACAATGACGTTGGAGTGGTCGGCCTCGGCGACGAACAATCTCAGAAGAAAAACTTGACTTTTGGAAGCAAGCTCACTTAACCTTTCAGGCACCAGTGCCGAATCTGCTCTCGGATGTCTCGACTTGTGCGATACTGGTACCACGGAGGTGGCTTACCTTCTGAGATGCCGGCAACCCAGCAGTGTCTGGTAGTTGCACCACACTGAGCCTGTTCAGCATCAGCAGCTCGGCTCCCAATGAAACCTACATGTGCTGGATCGCAGCAACATTGCAGCATGTGCCAGGATCGCGCTGAAGCTGACAGCCCAATGTTGTTCTTGGACCCTATGCCATCTCCGTTTCTGATACTAATTCTACACGTCATGTTTTCCTCGGGTCCGATGGTGGTGGTGATGACGATGGGATGATGATGGGGATGATGATGGGCATGCGAATTAAGGTGGCGATGGGTATGGTGGGGATTATCGGGGCGATGATGCCATTGCCCGTTCAAGTCAAGGCTGGACCATGTTCGGCACAATCTCCAAAAATGCTCAGCGCGATACTGACTGGAGAGGCATACCAAGTGGGCACACGCCGCTTGCCACCAAAGTTCCGCAGAATTCCGTTTTGCACCAGATAAGTCACACACCTGCCTGCCGGAGGCATCAAGAATTGCCAAGACCTGGCCAAAGCAATCTGCCGAGTCTGCATCGTTCCACGTGCACACTAAATTGCCGGCAATCGTGGCTCAAGCACGCTATCCGTGAATGCAATGAGGCCACGCAAAGGTGATCCCCAAGAGAAGCGACCTGCGTTCCAAGGAGCCATGGTCCAGCCATGGTCCAGCCATGCCCAGGCCCAGGCCTACGACCGAGACCTGAAACTCCTCCTTCCCCTCCCGCTCTGCATGGACCACACCTTAGGTGTCACACGAAAGACGAGGCCTCTGCTGCCTGCTGGGAGGTCGAGGGCGCAGCGCATCAGGTGGATAGTCTGCCCATACGCAACACAAAGCTGTGGATCAGCACAATCCCCCTGCAACGGGTCATTTGTAGCAGGTCAAGAAGATTGCATCGCATGTAAGAGAAGGCTGTCACGCTGGCTAGCGAGCATACGCCTGCGATGGCTCTGCGATTTCCTCATGGTCAAGGTATGTTACACGCCTTGGATGCATGCATATTATATCACCATGTCCTGACTTTCACGGCGAAGCCACGCGGCATCTGGAACCCACGACGCCTTCGGGTCTGGCTGGATGCCACGGATTGTAAAGTCATGATCAAGCAGGAGGCGCGAAAACCCAAGCAAGGCACATCTTTGGCGTTGTACTGCATCTTTTGCACGACCTCGCAAGCTTCGACGGTATCTGATTCGGTGCAGAGTGCAGGTATGACATCGTAGTGGGAATGAGATATTACCGTGATGCTGTGTGGAGGTGAATGCAAGCAAACAGTCTGAATGAACATTAACCATTCCGATCCCAATGGGATTTGAATGACCCATTCACATTGCCAGAATGAGACCAGCTGTGCAATCCCCCCGTTGCGAAGCCGAGCAGACCCCACTGCCAGGAATGTCCTGAACCAACGGAGTAAAATCTGCAAGCATGTGGAGCAAACCTCTCCAACGCCTTGCGGCCTCCTGCTATTGAGGCCCCAGAACACAACACTTCGCAGACTCAAGACAAGCCTGAACCTTGCGTTTGTCAGTTTTTCTGGGCTATAATCCCTGGCCTGCGCGCTCGGATGGAGGGTTAGAAGTACCGTGGCATTGCTCGCACACAGACCCACCAGACAGCGGGCATCTGCCTGGGACGAACATTGGCTGTCTTGGTGCATGAGAACTGGCAGGCCTGCATTGAAGCGAAGCCGGGCAATCACAAAACAGCGGTGGGCGCCGTCTTCAGGCATTAACATTACACATCGCTCGAAGCAGTAGGAGAGCGCAACTTGCTGTTATAGAATCTATAGATTGTATCACGCTTGAGCCCCACATCGTTCGTGCAAGTCTGCCTCTGTCAAGCTCTGAAGACCACCTCTCATTGGATTTGTGATGTCCGATAGCCACTTCCGGGACAACTCGTCCAGTCCAGCCCCGACCCTGCACCTGTTGACACATGATGCAAGCTTTGAACTCTCGGGTCGCCAACAACTTGAAAATACCTCTCTCAGAGCTGAGGCAGACGATGCAAGGCGTTTCGTTGCTGTTACTGCCCAGTACTAGCACAGCTGTCATTATTGATGCTGCTGTCTCTGTTGATACGCATGGCGGCCTCTATACGAATCAAACCTTCGCTATTTATTTAATCTCGCGCATGAGCATTGGTTTATCTGTGTGTGTATTGTCTATCCTGTTCAATTGTTGTTAAGTATTCGTACAAAGTTATACATGTGGTTCCTCGCCTGTAACCAGAACCCGCAGCAATTGGATCTGCGCCGACAATATTGAGTACTAGAGGCGGAGTGAAGTATGCGGATAAGATCGGCTAGTCTAGAAACCTCACATGCTTACCAAAAACGCGAAGACACCACTCGGCCCAGTTGGTTCATTCAAGAGAGTCAAGCAAACGCCCATGAGCCTTCTTAACACAACCCGACCTCGAAGTAAGAGAGCCAAGCATTTTCCTACAACTACGAGTGAGATGGAACCAGTAGTTATTCGCATGGTTTTATTTCAACTATGTTGTTGTGCTAAGTAATAAGTAATCTTACATCACAATCAACCGACAAGTACAACAAGGTGCAGTCGTACCACTTCATCCAGCTTCCATGCAAGCGAGAAGTGCGAAACCGATCATCTGCAACGTGCCAAAATGATTGACAAACAACGTGTGGATGACAACGGTCGAAACGTGGATAACATTCAACCCCAAAGCTGAAAAACTGCAACGAAAACTCGATGACTATGTACGAAAACGAGCCGCTGGTTTCTCAAGTTCAGCCTGGCGTGTTCAAGGCAAGCAGATCAGAGACTTGCTTAGCACATCATGCCTGCATGGGGTCATCAAAAACCAACTGACCACCCACGCAGTCAAGAACTGGGAAGCCGCGAGTCGGTAGAACTGGCCTGCAAGCTTCTCATGTACAGTAGCCGTTTCTGGCCAGTCAGTCACCACTTCATCATGAAGCACGGACGGCGGCAGTCGCCCTAACCCAAGCTCTGCGAGTATTTGGGCGTACATGACGGCAGGATTCAACTAAACAAGTACACCGAAGGAAATGCGACAGTCACAGAGCTTCTTCTGGCTAAAGGCGTGGAAATCGCTCGCATTGTCGGGAAGGTTCTGAGGTGACGGCGGGATGATTCTGGGTAGAAACCTGAGTTGGCCAACTGCAGCAGATGCTACCTATGACTTAGGGAGCTAGGCACCTGAAGCAATGGCAACACACGAAGTGTGACCTCACAAGCAGGCAGGCAATGGAAATGACAGGTTCTGGATGCTGTCAGGCAGATGCACAAGACAGCAGAGCGTCGCACACCGATGTTGGAGGATTGCTCGATGAGCAACTGCTTTTCAAAATCCAAGCCTTCAGCACACGCAGAACAATCATTCCGAAAGCCCCACAGTGCGCGAGTGGGTTGTGCAGCACTTGGGGGCGAGCGTCCAAATGTGCCCGTGAAGAACGTGACAAAGTAAACCTTCATGGTGCGGAACGCCCCTGCAGCTCCCCAGACTGCACACTGCACCCACGAAAACTCGGGCTTCGACACAACCTTTGGCGTCTGCAGAAAGGGCATACTGCCAGCCTAGGCAATTTCAGGCATGGTCCGCCTGTGTGGCATGCTGGCCCAAGCTCTGACCCGAGCTCAGAGCTGGGACGGCAGAAGGCCAACGAAATAACGGCGCTGGAATGCAGCTCCTGCCTTTGCATGAAGTTTTGCTTCAAGAATGCATTTTTGGGATCGACAACTCAGGGAATTTCTCGCGAGCTGCCGAACGTGTGTGGTTTGCGCCAGTGTGTGCTTGTTTGTTCCCTGCTGTGTCGCAATATCCCCTTCCCCCCAACCCCTTAAATTCAATGTTGCATCCCCATGGGTCATGCAAACTTGTGCAAAATTCTTGGCATTTGCGTATGCCCTTGTTTCAGCAACCGGTGTCGATGCAATGATAAAACTAAGGGTCGGGGGTATCGTGGGGACATTTATTAATGGGTGGCGTCAAGGTAACACACACGGAGACGATGCATGAGAATTCATGTCGGATTACAGGTCCATTCTTGCAATGCCTTAGTGGATCAGTCACTTCTTTCGGCCAGAGCGAACCAACAGCTTTCAAAGTGATTTTGGGCGGTCGTCTTTGCAGGTACACACTTTAACGTCCCCAATTATTCCCACTGAGTTGCCATAGCTTCGTTGGACAGGAAAGGCAAATCAGCTCGTGCCCCCTTGCACTCTCGACGAATACTGCTGACCAAATCTTTAGCCTAGCCGCTCCCATGAGTAGTCATACGGCAACTGACATGCCTGAAAGAGATGCTTTAGCTTGCTAAAAGCCCTGAGGGGACAGTACTAAGAACTCGATCCAAGACACGATGAAGCAAAAGTTGGTAAAGTACGGGAAGGATCAAGGAAAACCCATCTGAAGAAAGCTTGAAGAAAATCTGAGCATCTGAGCATAAGGCACTGTGTTGACAGAATCTCTGGTCCGACGTGTTGCTCTGGTCTGTTCTGGTGGAACGAATAACTCTTGCCCTGACACATAGCCGGCAAGTCGGCGTACGAGTTCCCTCCAATCTTGGCAGCAGCATGCACTGGCAGTCCCCACCGCACCGCAATGGCATCTGGTTCAAGCTCGACTCAACTCATCATGTTGCCGACCTCATTGGATATCCGCCTGTTGATCGTGCTCACTTTGCAGATGTCGAACTTGCACTCGTCGAGAAAAGGCTGTCCTGCTGCCGTTCGAAACCCTGCACTATTTCCAAGGGACGGCGAACTCAAGATCTTCCAACGCAGGCACTTCAGCGGGTGAAAACGCGGGGGATAGGCTTGTTGCTAAGGTTGCATCATCATCGAAGTCCTCATCTCATGTTCATTTGGCTCGTTCTCCTCCAGTGCATCTTCCTCGGACCTGGTTGGGTGCCAGCATCGCTCTAAAGCTCCTGACAGCCGGAGCGGGAGGGGTCACCACAGCATTGAAACCGTGGCGTGTGGCAAAATTCTTGGGGGTGGCTCTCATTCTCTCGCTGTAGCTTACGACTTACGAACCTGATGCAGCATGGGTTGATTGACTGACACAGTCCTCTCTGATGCACTGTCTTCACCAAGTCCTGAATCCTGAACAAGTTCCTTGATGGCACTGTAGCGGTTATTATCCCAAAGATAAGGATCCTGTCCGGGAAACATTGCTTTTGTCATGTGTGTCAAGGTTGAATTGCGGTCAGCACCTGAAGTACCACTGTTATCACCTCGCACAACTCGCATCAGGGTACCTGCCGTGATTGCTTCCTGTCACGACTTGAATCACTTGAATGACTCCCAAACAATATGTCGACCGTTGGATAAGAAGCGTAAGCGCCAGTTGTTGAAGCCACATGTCATAATTTTTGAAAGGCGAACATCACGACAGTCCATGCCCTCAGTCTGCAGGTCTCTGGTGAATTTGTTCGATATGACCTGTCGAGGAAGATGAGCCCTTTTTTCTCGATGGCTGCCATACTCCGTACTTGTAGATGTCCATGATTGTGGAAGGTCCTGTCAAGGTTTGCTCTTGGTCGAGATCTGCTTCGAACACGCTGGCGTCTATCTCGGCCGCGGCTGCAGGACCTGGAATCCTCCGTTCGATAAGCACGACGAGACATGCTCCTACCTAGGGAAGCGGGAAGAAGCTGGATAGCCAAACTAAGCACCTCTCGGTCTCGAAATGCTTGCTGACTGCATCTGCCTGCCACACGAAACAGCAATGCTCTCAACGGTCTCGATGCTAGAAGCCATCGCATCCGTCGGAGGATCCAGCTATGGCGACAAAGAGAAAGGGACTACAAAAAGTGGGAAGATCGACATTTCCCATGACCAAGGGTCCGAATCTGGAGCCAAGATGGCAAAGCTCTCCTGACATAACTCTTGCGACTAAACACACGTTCAGTGGAGAGTAACCCGCCTACACCAAACCAAACGAGGTGTGATTCCAGAAATGGCAAAGTTCCCTTCTGAAGCATCTGAAGTGCACCAGTGCCCCAAGTGTAGACATGCGCGCGTTTTGTTTCCCGTGCACCCCCAGGGCTAGGTGAGGACCTTTAGTGACTTTAGTGAATGCTGGTACATAGGATTACACCGGGGCGTGATGCGTCTTCAGAATGGTGTACAGACGCGTGACACTACCACTGATGGTTGCATGCTCGCCTCTACTCAACGCATTGCGTGGTGCTTTCGAGTCCTCAAGCCTTGATTTGTTCTTGTTTCACTTCGTCGACGACTTCGACGACTTGTGTCTGCTGAGGGAATGCAAACGGCAACCTCTCGCCGTGAAGACATGACAAACGAATCTGCGAGATTCGGCGCCCAATCTCCGCGTTGCTGAAGGACCGGTAGGCTATCAAAACTTCTTAGGCTTGAGGCGCTGGTTTTCACAAGATGCAAAGCTGCATTCATACAATGTACGGTTTTGCGAATCCGCAATGCGACATTTCGATGGCAGGTGGCCATCTTAGCCCGCATAACCCATTAACTATTCGCCTAGAAAGCACCACAGCATCAGGACATGTGAGGCTCCAGCACCATGCAAGCTATCTTTGGCGCAGCTAGGTCCCACCTCAACTTGCAGAAGCGGACTTTGTCAAGACAGCAGTGACGCAACTCAGATAAGCATGTGAATGCATAAGCTAGCTGTCTCAGCCCTGCGCAGCACTACATGTCCTCCCTTGTGCCCCACCAGCCTGAGCTGCTCCAGATGCAAACAACCCATTCCTGACATGCAGGCACTGTCGTTCAATCCTTCACAGTCATCTGCATACCATTGTAACATCGCACCATGCAGCACTGTCTAAGTTGCGACAGGACCGGATGATCGATACGACATTGAGGCCAGTTAGCGTTGCCGTGCATCCAGCCGCCTATCTGAGCCAGACATGCCGAAAGCGGGAAATTGACCTTGATGGAAGATGCTTCACAGACCTGAAATCGAAGCTCTAACATCGATCGAACTATGGGTTTTGCATACAAAAAGCAATGTGGCTGTTTGGTGTGTGAGCTGGAATGAAGACTTTCGACATGGGGTTCCTACATGTAGAGGCAGTCAATGGCCTTATGCAACTCGATCATGACTGCGAAATACTGCGAACACTTCTACACGCCATTTAATGACCTACATTCTTCCTAAAACTGTGGTTCTGGAAACAGAAAAAGAAACTCTGAGGCCTTTGCAAACTGCCACCATCTTGTGAGAAGGCAGCAGACGTCACCGCCTTTGCTTCGAAGCAAGCGGTTCTTCGAAACTACTAGTAGTTCAACGGCTGGACCGAGGTCTCCTCACCCAGGGTCAAGACCTAGGCTGAGAGCGACTTTAGGACTTTTCGCGTGACCCTTCTGAAAGACCTGTGGCTTCGGGGAAAGATCTTGCAAGCGCTGGTCAAGCAGTGCCACGGAGCCCCTGGCATGCACCCGATCGAGGCTGCAAGCGTGCGCGCAAACTTGCCTCAAAGTTCCCACCGCGACCACTTTGCTGCTTGCCGCAACACATGTGGGCAGCCCAATTTCCTGCCCGCTAAACTATGCAGCAACAGGCAGCGCAACCTGCCGGGGCCCTTGAGTCCTGCGCCAGTTGACGCCGAAGCTCCGAACTGGGCTTCACCTGGGCCGGGGCCCCACTTACCCATGGATTAACTGATTAACGGATGAGAATCCTGAATCAGTGCCTCGACCAATTGCGGAGATCGCACCTCCCAGAACAGCTTGTTCTGCTCAAGATATGTTTCCTGCTTTCTCAGTTTGAACTGTTCAGGATCAACACTCGTGGAATGCTGTGACTATGACAGGGCCGCGCTGTGCTGTATTGCGGGGTCGTCTCTCCATGCCAAGCCTGAGCTTCTTGCCTTCGTTGCTGAACTACGAGCACATTGACAAAATGGTGTGCGCTCCGGCAGAGACCCCGCGCAAGAATCAAGACAGACTGGGAGCGACATGGCATGTTAATCAGTTGAGTTGCTGCTACAGTCCTCCGGGTTATCCTGGTAAAACAATACAGATCATGCCCCATCCCCCTCCGCCTCTGCTGCAGATGCGGCCACTGTCGGCTTTTCCCCAGGACCTGAACAGAACTAGCACTGGCTTCCGCAGCTGCATCTCTGCATGGGGCTGTCACCAAGGTCGTTGAAGTCTGCAGAATGTCCTCACCGGTGAACGAAGCGCGCAAGCTGCTTTTAACAAGGGAAGCATCGGGCTGACCATGCGCTGCGCCGGGCGCAAACAGCAAGGACTCAGTGCATCAGGGTCGACGAGAATTGCGTGTTGGGACGCGGCAAGCAGGCAGCTTGAAGGTTCAGAAGACTATCTCATGGAACGTGCACCAGGCAGGAAACGCCCACTTCAAGCTTGGACTGGGAACAGAAGGCAGGCCTGTTGCTGCTGCAATGGCAGGGCTGCCATGCTAAAGGTCGGCATGCAACCCAAGATTGCAGAACTCGCCATATGCAATGAGAAAAGCCTTTTCTCGGCAATTTGTGAATCATGGACTGCTTCCTTTTGATAAGTTTCCGGCTCGTTCGTGCTCCGAAGACCATGTGAAAGGAGCTTCGAGAAATTCCTCCGCGAGAACTGATAACAGCAATACAACTGCTGCGGATAGTGCAGAACTTGCAGGTGTGGCAGCCATGCAACTGTGTCAGGCCGCCTCCATCTGATCCTTTTGACCTGCAGATCGACACGCTCTTCCCAATGTCAATTAAAAACGAGCTCGCGGCCTAAGACCTTGGAGGTCTCAGAAATCAGCCTGCCACGACACTTCACCATGCTTTCACCATGTCTGATACTCATACCTGGTCTGCCCAGAAGCCCGAAGCATAAGGCCTCTCGGCTGGTGCTGCACCGCCTTCTGTTTCTGCAACAAGTTCCCCCGGCTGCGCCTGCCACACATGTGTCGATGGAACCAGCACGCGAGGAAGACCTGGAATCGGCAACACTGTTGCCTTGCTGTCCAGACATCCTGAATCCTGAAAGATACGGTGGCCCGCCCCATTTACGGCATGACACGACTGAATGCTTGCAACATCGACAGGCTTGACAATCTTTTATGTCAGGGAAAGGCTTGCATTCATTCTTCCTCCCGCGCACAGGCTCCACTCCCGGTGGCACTCGCCCTGCTAGTACCCTCCCAACCGCGTGCTGAATTTCGTGAGGAAGCTGGAGAAGCACTTCGCATTAAAACAGTGTTATCACTGCGCAGCCTCATGAGTCTTGGCTCCTTCACTGGATGTCTCCTGCAACAATTCCGCAACAATGGGCAAAGATCGCTGGATACCTACAAATCTGGTAATGAACGTCCAACGGTCCGAGTCCATCGCCAGCAACTCATCAAGGCCAACCATCTGCCTTGCTATCATCACCGTGTGTCAGCATTGCTGCCCTGGATGCCGTCAGTAAGGCCCCTGCCCAGTCTTCGCCTGCTGCTACTCAAACCAAATGCTACAACAGTATCAGTATATCATGCAAATTCTACAGTCCTGTGAGCCATCACTTGCATCATCCCCGCGTCCTGGCGAGGAACATCTGTGCTGAGCAGCATGCACAGTATCCCGATCCCTGGCCTTCAGACAGCACCGTGCCCAATCGTGACGAGCCCTGGCATGGAAAGGCTTCAATGGCTTGGATAATCAATCCAGCAAAGATTCACTCCTCTGGCCCCAGACTTGCTGCTGCTGGATCGCCTGGAAAACTTCGAGAAAAACAAGTTACTTCACCGGACCAAACACATCCACAAAAGGTGTGGGGGGCAGCTTAGGTCGCTGGCGCTGCTGCGGCCCAAGCTCTTCGTCCTCAACGAAGAAAATTTTGAGCAACTCTGCAACTCTCCTCTTCCGGGAGATGAAGGCTCCTCGGAGAAGTCAGCCTGGGCGAGGGCCTGTCAGTATCGGAAACTGGTCCTGCCCTTCCAAACCGCGCGCACTGTACACATACACGAGATTAACGAAAAGCCTCTGCTAGTGTCGGCGTTCGGGAAGCACAGGCCCCTTCCTGGTGATGCTGGGAAGCTACAAACCATCATTGTTTGAAACATATTCCAGGCTACTCCACGCCTTCTTGGCTTCCTGAACGATGTGCCGTTGACATGAAATTGCCCTTCAGTCATCACCAAAGATCACGGCCTGCTTGTCACCAAGAGCCTTACTTATTCGGCTCAAGCACCCAATTGGCAATCTTCCGACAACCAACGGCATTTGCTGGAGCTGAACAGGACAACATTCATGCACCATCTCACTGCAGATGAGGCCGCAACGCCATCTTTAGAAGACGCTGGACCCTGCACATGATAGCAGATAGCCCTTTTCGTTTTCACAGCACTTGATTGACTGCACAGTCTGCAGCAGCCCGTGCCTCCTCATCACTAGATGACTCTGCAAGAAGTTGGTCGACGCTGAGCGACCTGCACCACGCAAGCTACAATCGAGGAGAGAACCATAACCAGTGCCTGTGTTCCAATATGTTAGCTGGGTCTGGGGCATGTCCGGCTATTGATGCATCGCTCACAAAAGTTCGACATTGCTTCGCGAGCACGAATGTGCTGTTGAGTGCGGCGAAACCGTGTGACATTTTACTTGTGGGAAAAGGTCATGAGCTCCGCACACTGCGGCGAATGCTCGAAAAGTAATGAAATTTCATGGCTTTGGTTCAGCGGAACTTCTGGTTGTAAAATGCCTGCCAACGTGAAGCACGAACAATACCAAGATGACATGGCTGAATTACGTCATGTGGTGGTATGCAGCTTGCAAGCTTTCAGCAGC